GGTGCCGGGTCCCTGCGGCCAGGCCTGCAGGCCGCGCTGCCCGGAGCCGCGAGGGACGCCGGGGGAGCTCCCCAACCTGTATGGAATAATGAAACGGGAGAAAATGTTGCTGTTTTCTGATCAGCACCTCTCTTTTAACTCCCGGCTTGCTGTTTATTGTTTGGCTGTCTCTCCACGCATGGCGTTTTCTTTTTCTGTAGTGAAACCGTAAATCCTTGGGGCAGACTCCTGTCTTTATGCAGGACCTAATTATGAGCAGTTATTTAAGGGGTGCTGTTTTGCAAGCATTTTTGTGCAGCTTCAAATTATGCTAGACGTTAGAACACAGTTATTTTAATTGTTTTCGTATCAATATATAGTTTCTGTGTATTAGCTAGCTGCCCTGGTCATACTTGTTAAAAATAACTGATTGCTTTAAGCAGTCTATAACATGGGGGAAAAAATACGTTTTTGTACTCCATACAGCTCGGAATCAAAACAGAAGATGCAGAAAAAACAGATTAAAGGTACAGGGAGACAGGAAGTATCCAGTTTGAACACCTCACTTAATCAGTTATAGACTTACTGGAAAAGGTTCAGATTAGTACAGTAATATAATCAGAGGCTCAGGAGATGCAGTTAGCATGGAAAGACAAACAATTGGATTTGTTTTGGCTACAGAGAAGCCAAGGCTGACATTCCATTAGATACATTGAGCTAGTTAACATCTACCCTCTGAAAAAAGTAGCACCATCATCTTTATTCTCGCCACACCTGCTCAAAACAGGTAACACCATATTATGTTTAAAGAAAAACAGAGAATGTGGTAGGCAAAAAACGGGCAATTTTTCTTCAGGCAGCCTTTCTTACTTGTTCTGCCTTGCAGAAACCATGTGTATACTCTTATTCCAAAACATCTCTTATCTATAACCATACTTCTGGTCATAAACCTCTGTCAAGAACAGTTTGAGCAGATCTTCACATTTGAAGTTCTTTTGTGGCAATAGGTCTGCTTGCATAACAGAGTAGTACTTCAGAGCATGAGCAGCGTTATTCCTTAAAATAGCATTTCTTCAAAATAAATCTTAAGTGTTTACAGAATCACTGCATTGTTTTCTTTCTAATATTTAGTTATGGGTGATGAGTCGGTACCATTTTTGCTGGACCAAGGAACCACTAAGACTTACCAAATACCTATTAGTCATTTGGACTGCGCGTTCATTGAAAAATGCACAGATGTTAAACACCTGGAAAAGATTCTTTGGGTATTAAGGTAAACATTGTATTTTCATTACCAGTTATATTCCTGGTCTGTAAATTCTGAAGGAACCCATTCCAAAATACTCTATTTGTCTTGAGCCTTTTTGTGACTTTCTAGTTAAAAAAATAAAATAATCATGTTAAAGGTGTCCAAATGATGACACTAGAAATCCAAATCCTGTTTTAACCATCAAAAAGGCCTGACTAGCTCAATGCCAGGTTTTTCTGAAATGCTGCCACTGAATTCTGATTCTGTTGGGAAGCCATTTTGCCTGATGGGTAATTTCAGATGCCATGCCTTTGTAGCTTTTGCTGAAAATGACACAAATGGTTTTTTTATGAGCACTGTGATGATAATTTTGAACTGTGTGTGTCCACTGGAAAGTGGCTGAAGGTTAACTCACTGGAATTTTGTTATCTAAACATTACTAGGTGATGGTAGAACTCAGTTTAGCAGGAAAATAGCCCTCTGCAGTCACTGTGGTGACTAGAGGGAGAGTAGACATGGAGAGCAGCATGGGGGACGCAGTACAGTTTAGATCTTTTTTGTAACCTTTATATCTTTGCATTAAAGGTCTGGTGAAGAGGGATGTTATCCTGAGCTTACATTGTTTTGTGAAAAGCGTATTGAGCATTTAGATCCAAGGAGCAGAGCTCTGAGAAAAGATAAACCTGCAGCCACAGCTTGTGACTTCACAGCTGAAGAATGGGAAACAATTAATGGTGAATTGATGGTACAGTATAACTCTGATTTATAATGGTCTGTAATATAATTGCTTTGATATATCAGTCTTTTTCTTGTGCCTAAATAGAATGTAATTATTTGATTAAATGAGGAAATTATCAAAGGATTATCTTGGGGCTTTTTATATTGTTTTCTGGAATTAATGTCACTGAGTCTTTAATTTCCATTTTAACTCTACAGATTTGTTTTTATTTACTTTAGTTTTAAAAGGCTCAATTGCTTTTTGTCTTAATTGCTTTTCTCCATTAAGAGCACTGCATTATAACGCTAGTTGTTAGTGTCATTATAGACTATGAAGTGTATCTGCTTTAAGGTACAGACACATGATTTATTTATTTATTTTCAGGCCTGGGAGACAGAAATGAATGAAAATTATACGGAATCACAGTTCTTGAGAACAGACACACTGTTTGAAAGGCAAGGTAACTTGCCTCCTATTCGTTGTTCCAGCAGCTGTCTTCCTGCTGATCAGGTATCTCCAGCTTTCTAATGTGTTAGTTATCTGTCTTTCTAAAATCAGGAAATTTTGTATGAGCAAACTTCAAGTCATTGAGCATAGATTCATTTTGTTAACCAGAAAATAAAAATTTTAAAGTTCCTATGCAAGAGACCAATGCTTAAACAAAAGTGCCTCCTTAGCACTAGCATGTCTTGTAATCATGTTTTGATTCTGATCAATAATTGATTTCTGTAGCAAATCTCCTTTAACATCCATTTTATTTCTTTGATTCACATATCAAAGTGGTGTTTAAGCGTATGAGCTGGGTTCCATGTGGATGAAATTATGCCAGGAGGTTTTCTTCAGCTGCCAATAGCCTTTTGTTCCATGAGACCAGACAGAAGCTAGTCCAAAATAAATACCCTGAAACATGCAGTATGGATGTTGGACCCTCTGCACTAGTTGTTTCACTTTACAGCCGCTTTTATATTCAATTGCACTGGTGTGTGTGTGTAGCCTTTGATTCCCCTTCTTTTATACCTTGAGTTAGTATTCCAGCTTTAGCCATAAAGCTTTCTTAACAAAACTTTCTCACTACAGAATAAGCGTTTGCAATTTTTCCTAGGTATTAATTTCCTCCTGTTTTGTTTTGTTTTTTTAACCATTGATTTATCTAACCAAAATCAGTTTTGTCTGTGACCAGCTTTTCTTACTAATACAGTTTTACTAAAGAAAATGTGTTCTCCACTCAAAGAAAAAATATTTATTCAGATTTTTTTCTGCTACTTAAAGCATGCAACAGTCTTCAAGTCAAGTTTTTATCACTTTTGTTCTCCAGGTGTTCTCCATACAAGGTTTATGTGTTGGCATTATTATCCAGGAAACCCAGATATAGCATTATGCCTTATCTGTGGTAAATTATTCCCATTCCTTTTGTCCAAGCAGACAGCCTCTGAAGTAATTGTAACCTGTCCTGGGAAAGAGAAGGGAAGCCTGAAGTTAAGTTTTGGGATTCAGTTTTTCTATGTAGCAGTGCAGTTATACCACTACTGAATCACTACTGAATAAAAACAAGCTGTTTTGATAGTATGCACTAAATTTATAACCTTCGTATTATTTTATAGACTCTGAATCAAAAAAAGAATACTGCTTCTTTGACACAGAATAGAAATGTCTTAGGCCATCACAGGGGGCCCAGAGGAGAACTAAGGCCAAATTCTGTATCACCTGAAGGCAGTCAGTGTTTTGATCTTTGGTCCAGAAATCATTCACTGGTCTTCAAACCCTGTTGGATCCATGCATTGTGAATTCTGGCAAGAAAAATGAAAAGGACAGAGGCGATTTTTTTCTCTTTTATTATTTTTTTTAGTTCCTCAACATGCAAATATGTATTTTTCATCAAAGTCTCTTGGGTGAGATGCTCTGAAAAATTACAGATTGAGAAATTCCTGACTGCTGGAGCTGTAACTTGGTTACAATAGTCCCAAGAATATGAGACCTAGAATTTTTTAAAAATCATGGAACTCTTGAGTCAACATTTCTGCCTTATTCTTTAAAAGGACATGTTCTAGTTCTCTCTATATATTCAAGTTTTATAAGTGTAAATACCTTATGAGTATTCTTCTGAGATTTTCACTTGTTCACTTAAGGACTTCTTAATTAAATTACCAAGTCCGTAATATACTCCAGGATGCATACGTATGTTAGCTCATGTTTCAGGAAGCCATATTTAGGAGTTACCTCCTCCAGACGTGTGCTGATCACTAAATGTATTTGTCATTTCATCTAGCTTCTTGAAAGACCGAGAACATTAAGAGTAATTCTGAAGTTATATGCTATCAAGTTTGTGTAACCTAACATTATAGATAGTCAGAAGTGTTTACAGGAAGAGTCACATTTGCATTATGTAAATTGAGGAGTTTACATACAGTTGCAAAAGTATTTCCTTGTTACAGTGTCACCACTAGTAAAGCAAGTTGAAGAAGCTGCTGTTTGTTGCTTTGTTCCAGTTTATCACCAAGCTCAGTTGAATTGGTACATATATTTAGGAGTATCTGTAATCTACAGTACATGATTGTATGGTGTCAGATTGCTTTTTTGAACCCAGATAATTGTAAATCTGCAACTCTACGAGCACTTACATTTGTCTAACTTAGTAAATAACATATTGCAAAGTAAGAGGAGGGCTGAGTGCCCAGGACAGAGTAGATGGAAATATTTTGAACTGGCTGTTCCACTGTGGAGTACCTGTTTGGAACCACACCTTGCTATTAAGTAGTGTACAAGTCAACAAGCAGGGAGGGACATATCAGAAATATAGTCTTATGACAGGTAGAGATGCCAAAGGTGCCAGCTGTGGAAATAGGTTTTACTAGTGTGGGAGATGGGGTGTGATATGAGTCAGTTGAATCTGTTATTGGGACTGATTGTTGCACGGCAAATTTTAGGTAAGGCAAACCTCAATGGCGGAGCTTGTCTAAAAGCTAGAATCTGTGTAAATCATTTTGGGAATTGTCTTGAGTGGAGTGTGAAATAGGCAAAAGAAGCCCAGACACTATTTTGAAGTCAAACTTTTTTAAGTTTGTTGTGACATTTCCAGAGACTATCAAAAATTCATATTTTGCAGTGGAGACAAACTGTGAGACTGAACAGCTCCTCAGATTACAATGTGTGAAATATTTTAAAGCAAGACAAATTAAGTTTTCAAAACTGCTTAGTCATGAATAGTGATATTTACTAGGAATATGTGTTGCAGAAACAAAACAAAAGGCTGTGAATTTCCACTTTAAAAAAATTGTCTTACAGGCTGGCTGTTTCTCTTTCAGAACAAAAAATTGCAAAACAAACAGAGAAACAAGAAAAACATACCACGGGATTACAGTGAATGGGACAAGTATGTTAAGTCCTTTCTGTTTACATTTTTATTACATCTTTTTAATTTGTTTAATAAAGTATCTTCCAGAAACATAGTATTAAGGTAAACATTTCAGGGAATTATAATACTTCAGTAAAATGATTTTTTTCATAATAAATGTTCTGTGAAATGCAAATTATGCATTATAGTGCTAGCAGCTGAGAACAAGTTAGTCTATGCTTTTGTACAAGCTTCATGCAATACAGTAAGTCAAGCAAATCTTGGAGGTGTATAAAATCAAGGAATTACAATTAGCCTAATTTATCGGTTTCTTTGAAAGCACTTAGTTTTATTTAACATGGCCTTTATAAATTTTATCTTCTTTGTCTTTAAAGCCACAATTCTAAATTAAAAACAAAACTTATGAGTCCTCATTCCTGCACTGAGCCCTGCTGACCTCAAAGAATGAGCTTGAGGCATCTGCATTAGTTTGCTTAGATTCAATTACACATAATCAGAGGTTTAGGCAGTAACTGACTATTTCTAGAGAGGATGGAGCCCTGATACATTCTCTGCATCTCGTCATGGTGACACATTACCCTCCCAAGTCATGTGACAGATTATTGCCTGCAATTGTTGAACATGGAGGGGGAAATTGTTATACTTTTGTGTTTTGCATGGTAGCAGCTTCTCTCTAACTCCTAAAATCTGGAATATGATGCTATAGAGTCAGAGTGAGGAGGCACAAGTTTCCAGTGCAGTAGATAAGAAGCTAAATACAGAGACTGTGAGGTTTGAGTAATGAAACTCTTAATCCTACTCTACACCTTGTCCTGTGCAAGAACCCTATCTGCCTAAGATGCTGTTCTTACAAAGAGTTGTGCATATCAGTGATTTTCATGCCTGTATGTTTCAGAAATTGGGGCCTTCCTAGAATCATAGGGGTTGGAAAGGTTATTTGAGTATACTGAAACAGAAGTTGTTTGAAATAAATTTGCTAGTTTGAAGTATACCGTGTTTTCAAAACCTCTTGGGGATAATTTTAAAACCTTCAAATAATTATTTAGGCAATTTCTGAACAAAATGTTTCACTTACTTGATTGTAATTGGTTTGTAATAAAAAGATGAAAGTAAGCTAGCAACAGATCAGAATAACAGTGAAGAACAATTAGTCTCACCTGAAAAAGTTTTGAATTGGATACATTGTCCACAATTTGTTTGTTTCAGATAGAAATTATTCATATTGTCAAGATTATTGTGGAAAGCAAAGGCTATTTTTCATTAAGTGCTAAGCAGAGTGTAGTGTTTCTAGATAGTGTAGGAATTGGTTATTGCTGTATTTGATTTATAGGGCTATGGCAGCAATATGAATTTGATATAAATTCCTAAATGCTGTTTTCAAAAACTGCTTCAGAGTAGCCTTGGAAGTGTCTGAGACTCTTGAAATCTCTCTCATGTTTACAGTATCAATTGTTTTGAAGCTGTTTTTTAGTTATTTTGGCAAAGAGGTGTTTCATAGGGCTGGGATTGAGCCTGATGATACTGTTTCTGAAATTTTGCCCTTTTTTGTGGGGTGGCAAGGAGGTGAGATGGATGTTTTCTTGATTTGGTTTGGTTGGTTTTAATCAGAAGGGAGAAGGAAAGGAATGGTGAGGTACAAGCAGAAGAAGCACACAAAATAATACCTGAAAACAGGGAAAGCATATACCTGAAAACAGATAAGACTAAGCATCTTTTTCCTAACTAGTCATGGATAAATGAACATGGCTTTTATATCTTCCTTTGGCTTATAATGGAAATATAGTGTGCTTTTCTATCAGTAGAGCAGTCTTGCTATGCAGCATTATTAAATTTGTTATTTTTATTAATTTAAGGTTTGACGTGGAAAAGGAGTGTTCTAAAATTGATGAAGGCTTTGAAGAAAGTAACTCAAAAGCAAGGTTCTTTAGTAGGCCAAGTCTACCTATAATCAAAAAGAAAATAGACACAACTGGTAATGTCTTAGAAACACATTTTTTCTTTACTTGTAATACTGTTTTATAGAGTGTGAATGCAAATTAAAGAATTTATAGAGTTAAATATTTATTTATTTTTCAGTCCATAGAGATGCTAAAAGTTGTTACATCAGCTGGGTGTGAAGCCATCTTTTAAAAAAAATCTAGTCATGGTGTTTATTATAAGTTAAAATATTTATGCTGTGTTAAGGTTGAGAGCGTGAGGCAAAGAAGTAAAACATATTTCTGCTGTTATAAACCAGTGGCAGATGTTAGCCAACTGCTTTAATCTTGAATACTGAATTGTATGCCTATCACAAAAACGTAGGTTTTTGTTATAGAAAATAAAAACATGGCTTACTATAAGACAAATTTGTAATTTTATAAATATTATACAGATTATGACATTCAAAGTATTTTAGCAGACAGTGTTTTGGTTTCATTCAAGCTGTTCGCTGTTATGTATAAATATTTTTTTCTAGGCATGACAAAGAAAGAGAAGATTTTTATTGCTACTCGTGAAAAAGAAAAGGGTAATGAAGCCTTTGCCATCGGTGATTATGTGGAAGCAGTGGCTTATTACACTCGGTGAGTAAATACTGTTGTGCTCTTTTATTTTAATGATTGCTACTTGTGAATATTATTTTTAGATGAGTGTAATTGAACCAACTTCTTACTGAAGCAACTAGTGATGATTAGATTCTTTTCAAAAGGGCAAAAAGATTTGACAGAAAAATCTTAAAGCATTGTTGCATCCTGTTATTAGTTTTGATTTATCAGAAAGAGATGTGGTTAGTGATGGGGTGCAGTCTGTGGGTGTCACAACCTTCAGATTTTTCAAAACCATTAAAATTCAATGGCAAGTTTACAAAAATGAAACGTTAAGCACTGTCAGGATTGTCTCAATTGTTAATAAGGAAAATTTATTTAATAACCCCTTTTGAGCAGAAAGAAAAATAATTATGTGCAGCTTCATCATAACACTGTCTGTAATTTGTAGCAGTATGGAATAAAAGCACATAAACACAGGATTAAAAAAATGAGACTCTTACAGGTTGCTTGCCTTATTTAGTGCACAGTGAACTACATTGAGACTTTGCCTTTACTACAGTCAAGGTAAGCAGCATCCTCTGTTCTTGCTTTCTTCACTGAGCAAAGTAAGTTATCAGGTTGCTCCTCTTGCCGTGAATTGTCTTAGGTAGATATATACTAGCTGTTGCCAGTCACCTTCTTGTTCTGCATGTGTCAGGTAGACTTGCTCAATAGTCTTTCTGAGAACTGAGGTTAGACTGCCTAGCCTGTAGTTTCCCAGGTCATACACCTTGCTGTTCTTTTAAGTTCTCTATGTGATGTTAGCCTTTATCAGTCACAAGGCACCTCTCCCAGTCACCATGACTTTCCAGAGATGATATAGAGCAGCCTTGTATGATGTTGGTCAGCTTCCTGAACACACCATCTGCAACTCCCATAAATCCTATTTTCTTAAGTGTTTCCTAGCTTTTTCTTCCTCTATTATGGGTACTGCTTCACTTCTGCAGAATCTGCCTCTAGACTCAGGGACCTGGGAAGTTTGAGGGCAAACCTTACCAAGGAAGACTGAGGCAAAGAAGCTTCTGAGTACCTCAGACTTTTCCATGTCCTTTAGTACTAGGTCCTCTGCTGCATTGACCAGTGGGACCACCGTTTCCTTAGTCTAAGTTTTGCTAGTGATAGACCTCTAAAACAAAAAGCAAACCAAACCAAGCTACCACTTTTCTCATTTTCCTTGCACCCCTTTTCTAGTTTTAACTTCAACTGACCTTTTGCTTTCCTAATTCCATCACTTGCATATAGCCAGTGTCTTTATATTCCTCCTGGGTAGCCCATCACCACTGCCATCGGTTGTGTATTTAATATTTGTGTTTCAGCTCAGTCAAGAGTTGTCTATTAATCCCTTCTTATGCGCTTGCTTGACTTCTGCACATTGTCTGTGCTTTCAGACAGCTATCCTTGAAGATGAACCAGCTCTCCTGACACCCTTTCCCCTACAGGATCCTGTAATAGTGCCAAGCATATTCCTGAACCACCTTCTGAAGTCCACAGCTATAATTCTAGTATTAATCTTGCTCATTTCTCCCAGAATCTTAGTGTACCATCTCATGGTTGCTGCAGCCAAAGCTGTCACTAACTTTTGTATTCCCAACCAGTTCTAGATTGTGAGTAATAATTCCAACAGTGCATTCCCCCTCTCAGATTGTTGATTGTGTCAAGATGTCTTCAGTACATTCCAGAAATCTTGTAGATTCTTGTGCCTTGTCATTTTGCCCTTAGAGCAGATACCAAAGTAGTTAAAGTCCCCCACGACAGAGCCTGTTGTGATTTTGAGGCTTCCTCTAGTTGACTGATGAAGACTTCATCTGCTTGCTTTTATTTATCAGGCAGTCTGAAACAGGTGCTTATCATGATGTCACCATGTCAGTCTGACTTCTTATTCTTTCCCATCTGTTCTCATCAGTCTCTTGCCTGTTCCAAGACAAACCTCCACACATTTAATCTCTGCTTAGACTAGAATGTATCTTCTCCTCCTTTACCTTCTTAGTCCTTCTGAACAGCCTGCATGCCTCCATCACAGCACTCCAGCCACACAGATTATCCCACTGTATGTCTGTTATCCCACCAAGATCATAGCTGCACACACCTTTTATTTTTCTTTTTTATTTCCCATGTTTTGTGCATTTGTGCACAAGCACTTTGGATTGTCCTCCAGTCATGCTTTTTTTCACAAGGAAAGTGGGAGAGTCTCTTCCAGTATGCTCCCCTTGACATTTCCCCACTGCCCCCTTTTCCCAGTGAACTTAGTATAGAGTCTTTTCTTGCTAGGTTAGCAAGGCAAAGATGTTCTTGCACCACTGTCTTATGAATCCCAATTGTCCTTATTCCTCAGAGATGATCCTGTTATAGAAACTAAAGCCCTGTCTACAATACCAGCGAGGCAGCCAGACATTGACCTAGATGATTCATTCACTGCTATCTGAGTCTTTCCTTTTTACAAGCAAGATCAAGGAGAAGCCCATGTGCCCCTCCCATGCTCTTCATCATAGCCTCCAGAGCACTGCAGTTACTCTTGATACTCTCAAAGGTTTTGTTTGAGTCCACATGGGTGGCAGCAAAAAGTAATAGTTTAACAGCCAGTTGAGCTGTGGCATTTTCTCTGCAACGTCTCAAATCTAAGTCCTGGCAAACAACAGACCTCTGAGGATGGTAACTGTAGTTGGTGGATGGTTGCCTCTGGTCTCACAGGGAAGTGTTTCTAACCAGTATTGTGTTTAGAATATCAGTATTAATGTTGTTGTAGTGCTATTTTCAGCTTCCAATACTGAAGTGTTTCTACATTCAGGTTTTCTAAGTATGAGCCTACCATGGTCAATACTCCCTTTTTTCAGGAGTATTTCAGTAATACCCACTGCAGCTGCATATAATAACAAAGCTCAAGCAGAAATCAAACTTCAGGATTGGGACAGTGCTTTGCAGGATTGTCAGAAGGTACTAGATATGGAACCTGGCAATGTAAAAGGTAAAGTAGAACATAAACCTGCCCTTCCATGTATTCTTTTATTTCTAACAAGTAAAATGCTACAAATCTGCTGTGTTGCTAGTTGGCTTCACTGAGCTTTAGATCAAGTCCGAGTATTAAGAAGGAAACAGAGTAGCTCCCCAAAGCAATTCTAACAGTATTTTGGGGGTCAGGGAAATTTTATACAGTCCATCTTGTTGATCTGTAATGGGTATTCTTATGCAGTAGCATGGGGCTCACTCCTGGTTTTTATATAATGACTATGAATCCATGCAGAGCATTGTTTCTGTAATATCCATGCTGAAGTATTAATTACTTTAAAAGTGACAAGAAAATAATGAAAGTCACCGATTAGATCCTTTCTGAAGGCAAGAACTTGAGTGTAGCTAGCTGTATTTGCATGGAAGGAGTGAAAAAAAATGGAAAAATATTAAAAAACACTTCACAATTCATTATTGGTATCTCAAAAAGGTGTCATGTGAAATTGCATCATTAAAAGTGGTCAAGAGAAGAGTTATGACTAATACAGTCATTGTGAAATAAATGCAGAATGTTAAAATCTGTTTCATGCCTGGAATGTCTAGAAAAAATAGTGGATTGTTACCTGCTTTATACTTTAAATGCATAAATAATACCCTTTATTTCTTTCTAGCTCTGCTGCGCCGTGCCTCTGTGCAAAATCAGCTGCAGAATTACCAGGCAGCTGTAGAGGATCTGAAGAAAGTATTATGTATTGAACCGGAAAATGCTATAGCTAAGGTAAAGATACATTTGAGTACTCTCTTTCAGAGATCCAAATACATTAGTAGCTTTGCAGACCAGTGCTTCTGTAGCTGAAAGCAGATGTTTGTACTTGTCCTTATCTGTGCCAGCTATTATGCCTTGGCTGAGACATCTAGAGGTGACAAAGTTTATTGAGTTGCTCTTTGCTTGGAGAGGATCTTCAAAATCCTACTAATGTATACAACACATGCAGAGTGAATGTTATGTGCAGAGTCACTAAAATAAAGGTGATTTGCTTGCCAGGAATTATGCAAGATACTTTGTCCACATGAATCTTTGCTTGTTCCTGTCCTTGCTTTATCTTTTTCTTGACCAAGTGAGTACTGAAATGGCAATTCTGTGTACAGCACTGAATTAAATTTAGTGTATAATGTTGGGTGTGTCTTGCACTGGTCTGAAAGTGTGAAGTACAGTTGCAGCATCTTTCTGAGTAATCAAAAAAAGTTTATGGCATGAGAAGCTGTTAGATCATCTAATTTGCAGTTCTTACAGGAGGAACAAACCTCTTCATTATTCCACAGTGTCTTGCTACACTGCTAAGAAACTGTTGCATCTTTTGGTTCTAGTAGTATAATTTACACTACTCCATCAGATACCCATCAGACACCAAATTCTCCATAGCACAAGTTATTATAAACTGATTTTAGGCTTTATGGGAGCCCATTTTTACTTGCTTCTTCTTATTTGCCTCTTTTAAGTAGACTATGCCACATGCCACAATAGTATAATCTACATTTTTCCTTTTAAAATTTTTTTCTGAAGCAATTAATTCAATAAAAGTTCTAATTTATTTGTGTGACCCTGGGTTTCTAAGAGGTGTAAACTGAGTGTTAATCTTGGTTTTGATATTAACTCTTGGAAAAGTCCAGTTTATTTTCTCTGGTTTTATATTGGTAACATTTATTTTGGTAGTTCTTCAGGAGCTTATGTGGATTGTTTAACAGAATGTATTACAATTTATATATTTATTAAAAAGACTTCTGCTATTTTTTTTCTCTATTGCAGAAAAATCTGCTAGACATTGAAAAGAAAATGAATGGTTTAAAGCCTGCAACTGAGACTCAAGGCAAAGGAAGAAGAATACTTATTCAGGATATAGGGGATTCAGAAGATGATGATGAAGGAGAGGAAAATACAGAAGAACAGGAAAGAAGCCCTGGAGATAAAAGTAATGTCATGTCATTTCCTATTTAGTTTTAACCTGAGGAAAAAAAATCACTGCCTTTGATAACTGCAATGTATATTCACACAATACACATTTGCTTGGAAAGAATTTTGCCTGTGTGAAAACAAAAATCACATTCACTACTTAGAGTTGATCTGATTCTGAAATCTAGAATCCTGTTTTATTAGACATCTTTGCCATTATTTCTAGAAAGGCTATAACAGAGACAGATGGGAAATGCTGCTATAAATTACCTACTTCCCCATGTCCTGAATAATTTTATACCTATCTTTTTGTGTGGACCCTTTGATGTATTGGGAATTTATTCTGGTGTTAGAGAACATTTTGTGTTCTTTAGCGCTTTTTCTTGCATAGCTCTCCTGCCTTCCCACTATCACATTTTTCTCCTGCAGTTTTTCTCCCTTGACTTGATCAAAGGGTGTAAAAATCTGGTGTTTTTTTTGTTGTTTGGTTTGAAAACTATTCAGCTTTTTTGTTTGTTTTTAGTGTAAGAGATCATCTATGTGTTAGAAAAGTATGTATTAGAGGTAAACAATGTTTAGTTCTTGTACTGTCTGTAGTTTACAAGCAGTGCAGCTGCCATCCCTGTATTAGTATCTGACAAGCTGCAAGACTACAGAGAAGAAACTGCTGGCAGCATAATCAGCATACGTGACTTTTACAAGGAAGTGAGGAATCAGGGGCTGTTGAGCCTTGCATTGAGTGGTTGCTTTTGCCCTCAGCTGTATATCTGGGCTCCAACCTGCAACAGAGTAATATCCCTGATTTGATTTCCACCCTTTCTCCTTTCTGTGCGTTCTTTAAGGTAATGTGGCATGACAACGGTGGCTTTTGTGTTTTCCATGGCCTGTGTATTTCTTTCTCTTGAAATTAAATCAGTCTGCAGGTTTTCCAACTTAATGGTGAATATTTGATTGTACATGTCTGATAATAATAATGCATTATTTGCACATAAATGTAAGGAAAATACATTTTTAAAAATCAATAGGTATCCACTAAGTCTCCTTAACTAAAACTGTGGAAGAGAGGATAGATCATGTCCTTAGCCTTACGTTTAACTTAATTTGGGGTTGCTTTCCATTTGGAGCATTCAGATGACTAAATGCCTTCTAGCCTCATAGGAAGACACCCATTCCATTGATGAAAGGTTAAGCTTTTAAACATAAGGAAGATTGTCAACTTATGTCAGTGTCCTATGTGTTCATGTGATACACATAAGTAATTTTTAGATTTAGGAGACAAACATCTTCATCGAGTATCTTATATATCTTCTCTGCACATCTAGTTGTGTAGTCACAGTCACTCCAGTAGTCCATGTAGTCTAGTAATGTAGTCACATCTACTTCACATTCTAGTTAAAAAGGCTTCTGCAGTCCTAGTAGAATTACAGAGTTTGGAAGAAAAACAAGCAAATATTTTTTTTTTCTCTTTAGCTCTGAAGATCTTATTTAGACAGCTTTGAACAAAGCAGTCTAGATAAAGTGTATATATGTGTAAATAAAGTGTAGTTTTTCTTTGTCTTCCATGTATCTGAAAGCAAAAGTAATTAAAATCCTTTTTTTTGTACAATAGAAAGGGAAAATCACTTACATTCTAGAGACTATAAAAACTAGTATTTAGGCACTGTCAAAACTTAAAATCATGTATGTACTTAACAAAGTTCCTGATACTTTGAAATGTTTATGGAAGTTATAATCTCAAGTGTAAATATGGTTTAAAGATAAATATTTTAATAGCCCCTTTTAATTAAAAAATGCTGAGTTGTGTGGTATTTACTTGATCTGCTACAATAATTTTAAAAAATATTGTAGTATGCATTTCTGAAATTTAATAAATATTTATTAGTAGAAATTAGAGTCCATTTAAGCAAATTAAAGTCTGTTAACTTTAAAATTATTTCCCAACTCATTATTGTTAAGCTTGACAACAAATCTCTCTTTAAAAGATGTACTCTGAGCACTTACAAGAAACATCTTAACAAACAAAGCTATGTTTTGTGAGTTGACTATGGGAAAAATCTGTTGTCTAGTGTGTGTTTTCTTTGTGCATGGTTTATTCATTACACTATAGAGATTAAAATAGTCATCTTCTGGGTAAGACATTTTTCCCAATTCAGGGTATGTATTTTTTTTACTTCTGTATGTGTCTTTCTGATTTGTGTGCCTTGAGACTGCTGGTTTAGTACACTGGCACTTTATACAGAAGCATCAGAACACCTCTTTTCTCCTGTGTTACATTCTTCATCTGATTTCTTCTTTCACTGCCTATATGGTATTAAATTTACTTGATGCCATAGCAGTTGGCTACGGAGAATTACTTTGTGATTATTTTTTTTTCCAATGTTTTTTCTACTTGATAGCACCAAATTAAGGTCTTTGTCATTTGAATGTGACAGTACTGTGATTTGGAACAATTCTTAGACTGAAGAGCATGTCCTTGTATCAGTCTACTATCATAAGACTTTGTTTTCTTGCACTAGATCATCCTTTTTTGGGAATGTTGTTAGGAGGTAAGTAGGTACGAAAGCTCCTTTGCATCCTTGAGGAATTACATACTGGGTTCTCAACTAGGCTTGACCATGTAACATAGTTTCTGTGAAGTAATAGGCTTTCTACCCTTAAATAAACAGAGCTGTCATCATAGAGGCTGATGTACAGCTCTGCAAAACAAATAGGGGTTGGTAACACTCTTTGAATTTCTTTTACGGATTTTCTAAACGTGTTTTATAAAATGGACATCTTCCAATAAAACTGGATCTTCTGTCTTTACATTTTTACTTTTTCTTGAATTATTCCATGTGGAATAATTAAATATTTATTTTATATTTCAAGTAATTCTTCTTTGTATGTGTTAATAATTCATGGCTTTTCCCAGGTGAGAGTAGGTTAGATCTTAGATTTGCATTTTGCAGTTTCTGATTCTTGAGAAGCAAAGCTGACCAGATAGGAGATGATTAGAGCTCTTTCTTGCACAAGTGATCGGTTGTGCTTGCTGTTGTATTTTCAGCATTCCTGGTATTGTTTTCTGCTGTCCTCTTCCACAGGCTCTGAGATAATGGAGATGTTACCTGTTGGTTAATGCTTACTGGGTGCTCTCTATCTTCACTCACTTGGCCTTTATGCCATACATTAATTTGCACCTATCCAAGTCCTACTGTATTAAGAAGCTTCTTTGCCTTTGTAAGCCTTTAAAAATTGACTGTGTCTGTTCTCTAGATCATAGAATCATAGAATGGTTTGGGTTGGAAGGGACCTTAAAGATCCTCTAGTTCCAATCCTCCTGCATGGACAGGGACACCTACCGCTAGATCAGGCTCAAGGCCCCACCCAACCTGGTCTTGAAGACCTTCAGGGAGGGGCCATCCACAACCTCCCTGGGCAACCTGCTCCAGCATCTCACCAGCCACACAGGAAAGAACTTTTTCCTAATGTCCAACCTGAATCTCCCCTCTTTAAGCTTCAGACCATTGCCCCTTGTCCTCTCAATATACACCTGTGTAAAAAGTCCTGCCCAGTGTTTGGTTAGAAGCCTTATCAATGAGGTCTTGTATGAAGACATTTGGCCGTCTTGTTTTCCAATATAGTAGTTACTCTGTATTGCTTTCTATTGTGCTTGTTTGTTTGCTTTTTTTGACTTTTAATGGTAAACTCTGAAGAAGGAGCTCTCATTTATACTGAGTTTGTATAGCATCTAGCACACCAGGGCCTGACCTGCTGTGGTTTTTAGGCTCTATTGCAAGCTACCAATATGATAATTTAGATCACATGAAAAGAAAAGCATCAAAAATTAACTCTAGAGTTGCATTTTACTGCATATCCTGAAGTTGAGAAAAACCTTCAGTTACAGTGTCAGTATAAATGTTGACCAGTAAGTCTTTTTTCATTCTTTATAAACAAAGACTGCTTCTAAGCAGTCAGAGGTCAGAGTTATTTGATTGTTATGGCTCAGAACAATCCAGGTACAATCTCAATTGGCTAAAGCAACACCATGTAACACAGAAATACAAAATGGGCATTTGCTGACTATTTGTGACACTAAAGCAGAAAATTCTGAAAAAGTTAATCTGTAGAAAGTTGGACCATTCCAGTTACCTTTATATGTAGCTAATCCAGAGGAGCTAAAAGAGTTAAAAATGTTTCCTGGCTTTATAATAGGCAAATTCCTTGTGAACTAAACTTAGATATGTTGCTTTGCATTCTGCCGCCACTGTTCTGTACCATGCTTCTGGAGGATAAATACTTTGTGTAGCTGGAAATTAATTTTCAATTAAAGACAATATAATCCATTGCAAAACAATACATCAAATATTCCCTTCAGTATATTCAATGGGTTTTGTTTTATGACAGTACTTCCATTTGAGGTTCATTATTTTAATACTAACATAAATGAAAATTCTTCCTAGTTTGTGTTTGTTGTCATTCTGGTCAAACCCTATTCATGCTTTTCAGGGTGTTTTTTTGTTTGTTTTTAAGTTCATAAGCACTGATATTTTTTTTTTAAGACAAAGCCCAGAATACTGGTCTCACAAATTAATTTATCTGTAGAGACCAAAGCTATTGTTTATGTTATGAACACCAAAACCAACAGACAATGAGAATTAGTATTTGAGAAATATATCTCTATGATTTTGTGCATGTTGTTTACTCAGCCCAGAAATATGTAGGCAATTAGCATAACCTGACAGCTAGACAAATTAATTATGAGTATTCTTATTTTGAGGTAAACTCCTAATGCTTTAAACATTTCTTGTTTAATTTAGGATTGGTTCTGAGCACTTAATCTTCAAGAAATTTTCTGTTATATTCAGGAAATGACTTTTGCATTTATGACATTCAGATTCAAATCGCACATTATCTGCCTTTTTTTTTTTGTCTTTAGTGGTAGGTTTTTCAAGATCGTTTTGGGTATCATTTTCTTTTGTCTGTGGCATTTATAATTGTTTTTTCTTTTTAGTAGAAAATGTACAAAGTATTCTCTGTTTTGGTGGATGTAAAATATAAGTATTTTAGCATGTGTCCCCAGGAAATTACTGTTGTATTACTACAGTTTTCACTGATCTGCCCAGCTAGCCTTTAACCTTCACCCTCCCTGCCAAATAGACTTTCAACCTTTTTTGGCATATTTGGCACTGACAAATTTGATGGATTGATGGATGCATGTGTGGATGGAAGTCTCAAATATAAATAATTTACTTTAAGACTTATAAAAATGCCTGTGTAGGTAGAATAGATTTATGCTATCATTATTTTCACTGTGGAGCATGAACTTATTATTAAACATGGTATTTTAAAATAGAGACCACAGCTAGGAAGGATGCAGTTGCAGCTTTTGTCTATTAGGCACTAGAGAAGCTACTGGGTTTTTTTAGAATCTTATGCTTTCCTGTCCTGTTCAGTTTGGTTAACCTAAAATTTTGTGCATTTAAAAAATAATGTCTGTATTTTTGAACAGCTTGGAGTTCATATTATATCAACTTCAGATGTTTAGTTTGAGTCAATTGGAGGTATCATTCCAATATACAAAGGCAGATGTGGAACAGATGAGCGCATCAAGTTAACGAAAGGTGAAAACCCAGCATCTTAACATCTTACAAAAACAGATTTGCCTTAGTGTGACTGGTAGTATCAGGAGGCAGGCTTTCTGCTGAAATCTGTATTTGAGTACTGTGGTGGTAATGTTAGGAATTCAGGTGAATAAGGAAATTATATATGTTCAAATCTGATACCTTTATTACATTATTCTTTTTTCCTAATTAAATTAATAATAGTAGTGGAAAGTGAACTATCAGAAGTCTCTGTAAAAGACTTTTTGACATTATTTAAATGAAACCTTCTTGAGAATTATACAGAATACAATTCTATATATAAGCTTTTATCCCTCCTACTCTATGTTGCATTTGAGGAGAGTTTTGAAGTGCACAACATTAGTGATGTGCTAGCTGTGTGTTCTAATTTTAACATGCGAGCATTTTGATTTGACCATGGAAAGTCAAAGTCTCAGTATTGTGATAGCCTGTATTTAAAGAGTTAATTTCCAGGTGAACTCTGTACCATGCTGACACTACAGAGCAGGGGTTCGCAATGTGCCCTGCAAGAAGGAATGAGTTTTCATAGTAAGATGTTCTTAGTAATAATTGCAAGTTACTGGCAAGTAGGAATTTTTCTGTGTTCTTGGAAGTGTTTTCTGAGGCAAATAGATCTTTGTAACATTAAGGCGGCTGGAGGATTTGGTGCCGTGTTCCTTGGCTGTACACCCCTCTTTTGTCAGGGCAATAGTTTCTTCTGATGATGCAAGCTCCAACTCAGGTCATTAACTTCCTTGCAGAAATTGGCGTGCCAGTAAGAGGAGAGGCGGCTGCCGGGCAGGCGGCGATGGGGAACGCGCAGAGAAAGTTTCACAGCAAAGGAGGGGGCAGTAAAGCGGAAGACAGAGAGACACAAAAGCGGAAGGAATCCCCAGAGAACCGATTTAAAAAAGGCACATCAGAGAAGAAAACACAAAAGCATTTGTCAGACCACGAAGAAGTTGTTAATGGCTATGTACAGAGTGAGCAAAAGAGTGAAAGCCCCGAAGCAGGGGTCTGCCGATCGCAGGGAGCAGCAGGTGGTGGCGATTCTACTTCACTTCCTCCTATTGCAGCAAAATTCAAAAGTGAAGGGAACGAGCTATTTAAGAGTGGACAGTTTGGAGAAGCTGTGCTGAAATACTCTGAAGCAATTGAGCATGTCGTCAGTCTAGGTGAGTGTAATACCTTATACCTAAATCTAGGATTGTTACTATGTTTAGATTATCTAAAGGAACTAAAAATGAAGTAACCTAGCCTATCCCTGGGCTTTTGGCAGCAGTTACTGTGCAGTAAATTTTCTGTCATTATTATAAAAGGATGTGACAAAAAATACAGGAAGTTTTGTGAAATAATATTATTTCCTTGGGGCAGAGCTGTTTGCTTTTATTTATGTGTTTGCATAATTACATATGCTAGGTTACATGATAAAGCTCCTTGCAGCTTTGCATTGTCAGCAAACTGCATCACTGCAGTGCAACTTACAGTATGCAAGTCTTTAATTCTTGAATGTCATTTTAGTAATGGTCTTTGACTCTAACTGTAACTTCTTTTAGGAGAACAAAGTCCAGATGATTTAAGTATCTTGTACTCAAACAGAGCAGCATGTTACCTCAAAGAAGGCAACTGCAGTGACTGCATTCAGGATTGTAACAGGTAAATTACAGCCTCCCATGTAGGGCAACAGCATTCCTGATGATGATTCAACATTTTAACTGATATATTGTTATTGCAGTTTGACTTAGAACAGCCTTCAGTAAAGTCTGATTCTGTGTCTAAATGACAGATATCTTTGTCAGTTATATAAACAATAACATGAAACTTTTAACTTGCTATGTGAGGGTAGTTGCTAGGCTTCTTGTGTATACAGAAATGCATAGCAGGATTAAAATTTTTCATATAAAAGCAGGCTTACTTCAGTGGTGCTTTGTAGTAATTTAGATGTAAAGGTTTTGTTAAGCCAGATGCTAATCACAGTGTTAGAAATTGCTTTCAAGCATATGTATGGTGTGTATGTGTGTGTTCTCTGTGTTTGGTTTGTTGTTTGGGTTTTTAAAAAAATGTATACTTGGCATAGTTATAAACAGTAATAACAGCTGTTCAGAAGTTGAGCTAAAATCCTTTCTGCTTATTGTGGCTTTGAAGGATGCAGGAGTTAGAGAGGATCAGACACCTTCATTAACTTCCAAATTTTGCCTTCCATAAAATTATTACTGTATTTCTCTCTATATTTTTTAATATTTTCATAGGTAGTGTTAGTAAGACTGAGGTTTAAGGTGCAAAAAAGAATCCTAAAACAGTTAGAAATCATACTAATTAATCAGTTTGGTTTATTATAGCACAACCCAACTGTTAAAAAAAAACAACACCCCCACCTCCCAAAAAAAAGCATGTAGCTTTGTATTACATATTAGACTTACTGTATATATTTTACCTGACAGAAAAATTTCTGAATGTGTCATCTGAAGAAAATATGTATTTAACAGTATTTTCTTAAAATAGATGCAGAACCATTGGCAGCTGGTTGATAAAAAAAGATGGCATACTTAACAACTATCACATTTTTCTATTAATGAAGTTTGAAGAATATAAGATTTCAACTGAAAAAAGTAATACAAATGCTTGGGATTTTGTATTCTTGCCAACTTGAAGCTTATTTTCTTGCTACTTAATGATAGTGTCCTTAATGTCATGCATATTTTCTGGATACACAAGGACCCATGATGCTTAGTGAACACAACAGAGGTAGAAATAATTTAGAGACTGGGAAGCAGAACTGCAAACACAGGGGAATTAGGCAATGTCAATTAAATCTTACCTAGGCAACACAATATGAAAGATGATCTACAAATAGGTTAATAGATGTCAAAGTAAAAAATAGTGTACTGTTTATATTCATGATATAAAAATAAGTATCGAACATTTATCTTCTACTAAGTTTTAGCTATTTAGGGCTTAGGAGTGTGTCAGAATCCCTCTGGACTTCTCTTGGTCTCAAGACTTTGCTTTGGAATGCCTTTGTTTCTTCTTGCAGAGTGAAATAAGGCTCCTATGCACTAACCTTATTTTATTTAGCACTGAGATGTGGTTTGGTCCCTGGTTGTATTATGTTTGCAATCTACCCTGGAAATGCAGTTTTCCATTCCCACTGATGCTATTCTTCAAGCAGTGTTGTCTTCCTCTGAGTTTATTTATGGTGGTTGTTTTCTTTGTTCCTGATACTAGGAACTTGAAATTGCATTGTTACTCTTCTAAGTTACAGAATGTCAAGTTTTTTTGCAGAGGTTTTGTAAGGGCTGTGATGTTGTGTGCTGTTGTATTTTTCAAATGCATTCAGCAATGTAGAGAGAAATGGAATGTTGAAAACATTTAAGAAATGGAAATGGTAAATGTTTATTCTAGAAATCATTATGTCTCTGGCTTTATGAGGAGTAACGGTGCAAAACTAAATTACAGCAAAGAGGGCCAACAGCCCAGTGGGCTGTAGAAACAGGAGCACAGCCAGTGTATTAAGAGAAGTGATTATCCCCTTGTACTCAGCAATTAATAGACAACATCTATGATAACTGTGTTGGTTTTCAGCCAACGTAGTGATTAACTGGAATGACTTCAGTGAAGTGTCACCAAAGTGGTTCTGAACTCTGGAGCACTTGCCTGGAGAGGAGAGGCCAAGGGAGTTTGTTTTGTTCACCTTAAAGAATTGATTCCAGGTGTCCTACCAGCAGCCTGCCAGTAGCTGTTTCTGGCAGAGCATTGTGGGAGGGCTAGAGACAACAGGCAGAAATTGAGCCACACAAGGTTTGAACTGTATATTTTAGAAAAAAAACTTTTCCCCATGAACAGTGGGGATCATTACAACAGGTTGTGCAGAGATTCTGATGGAGGTTCTCAAGGCCCAACTGGATAAAACCCTCAGCAACCTTGTCTGATCTCAAGAGATGGCCCTACCCATAGCAGGAGGTTTGACTAGGAACCTTTCAGCCTGAACTACTTTGATTCCATGAAATCTAATGGATAGACTAATTTTAATTTCAGTATTTCAAAGCTTATATATTTTTAGAAAGAATCATTGATTTATAAAAGGTAGTCTTTAATAAATAAAGCCTTTGTGGACTTCTTCTTCATATTGTTGGAAAAGCACATGGTGTTTGGAAGGAGTTCTGATTGCACAGTGCTGGGGGTTGAGCTCGTTGTTGACCAGGAACACAATCAGAAGAGTGAACAGACAAAACCCTAAAAGCAAAAAAAGAAGAAAGATAGGTGTGTATTCATGTCTTACAAAATATATATGTTGATATACGTACTTCCATGTAAGAAAGAGGACTTGAAAATCATGTGGGCAAAAGCACCGTACACTGGAAATCCCCACAGATGTAGGCATAACTTAAGTAAAATAGCTTTTGCTCTTTAACAGCTGCCAAGATATTAACCTCTTCTTGGTGATGGAAGTAGCTTTCCAGATGGAAGACAGGGATTTGAATACAGTAAGTTGTAGTAAAAGCAGTAGCACTTTCATAACTGCATGTCATTCAGAGTATTAATATAAGCCACTTAGTCCCATTTTCATTGGTTATGTTACTGTAAGGCCCAGCTGGAACCACAAAGTTGGTATGTATAGTTGTATATATAATAAAATAGTTTTATTATTTCAGTTATTGTGTTTCAGATGTGTGTTTCTCTTGTGTTTCCTCCAGAGCTCTAGAGCTTCATCCCTTTTCCCTTAAGCCTCTTCTACGACGGGCAATGGCAAATGAGTCCATGGAGCGGTATCGACAGGCATATGTTGATTATAAAACAGTCCTACAAATAGACAGCAGCATCCAAGCAGCAAATGATAGTGCTAATAGGTAATTCCACTTACAGATTTTCTATTCACATTGGTCCAAATAGAAAAAAAGAAAAAAAAAATAATCAGTTTTGTTGTTTTATGTGCTCCCTCAGTTCTGTATCCCTCAGAAGTGGGGGTGGTCACAGCTAGTGTATTGTAAGTAGAGGAGTGGCTGTTTTATCTAGTTGTTTTCCCATACCTTCACAGTTTTCCAATGCCAGCACTAGGCCACTTTCTGTTGTAAAAATGTAACAGTTTAATGCATTTTTCACTGGTCCTTCAACTTGTTTTCTTTCCTAACTTGTATTTGATACCATGTAAAGTAATATTTTAAGGTGCATACCTTTTCTCTGACATTTCTGTTTCCTTTTCATATTAGCACTCTTCCTGTGGCAGGTGGGAGATTTATGTTGTGTGAATCCTTCAGTATGGTGTAGTTGTGTAAATGCTGAAGTACCGTGATACTGTGGTTGGCTACAAAGCTTAGAGGTGTAAAAAATATAATAAAATATTATTTTTAACTTAAATGTTAATACTTCAACATTCATATTTGCTGCCAAGAGAGATAACTCAGTTTCTGTAATTATATTTTAACAGTGTAAAATTAGAGTTTACACACTATTATAATTTTGTTCTCATTAACATATAGTAAGTGTGTGAATGATAGGATTTTCCATTCCCTTTTCTTTCCCCTTTCTTTTTTAATGGACAAAAGAAGTATTTTTGAACAGCTATCAATATTGAGCAGGAACCCACATGCATGCAACTTTTAACAATGGAATCTAGTACCTTTTTTTCTTCTTTAGATAGAGCCATGAGCACTTGTATTATGACTTTACTTAAAAGTCCATAATATCTTTAAATTGTGCTTATTTGACCAGAGGTTATGATACTTCATCATCTCCTCTTAGAAGTCTTTTTTTTGATAACACAACAAATTGTTACTGATGTCCTCTATCTAAACTGACAATAGTGCACTTGGATTGGTGAGAACTGCTTGTCTTGGTGCTTGTGTGATTATTAAACTTCTTTAGTCTTCTTGGCTTATTTTATCTGCAAATTCTCTTTTCATGTTTCTCCTTGACTTGTGACTTGCTTAGTAATAAGCCTATTTCTTTTTTTTCCTTAACACTCTTCCTTTTCTCCTCTCTAGGCCTTCCTTATGTTTTTAGCTTCACTGCTCATTACTCTTTCCTCCCTGGCAACCCATCACCTTATTTCAGCTGCTTCTTCCTTCTCCTGGTAATTCATTTTTGCTTGCAAATACTTAGTTTCTAAAGCATAAACCTGCTGCATAACTGAACTGTAACTATAATTTATTTTGTAATCTTTCTAATTATTAATTAAACTGAAATGGTTTACTAAAACATAAATTTTCATTTCAAAATTCATTTCTTAAAAATTAATTTTAACAAAATACAGTAGTTAGTCTATTGACTTTTAACTTAAACCCCAACATATAATATTAATTTTTTTTTCTATTAGGAATATTTGGTCTTAACAACCTGCTTTTACTGGAGGGATTTCTTTGTTTTTGCCATTTTCCTAGTTTTGTGAATATCCATGAATTTTCTACTTTATGTATTTGAATTTCCCCTTGAATGAGTGTATTGTTACTTCCTTTTCACTGTTAGAAATACAGAAGTTCTACTGCAATATCTTTATGCATTTCCATTTACTAAATTGAATTTTCATTCCAGTTGTCTCAACTGCTTTGGTATGAGTTAGAAAATTGCATGAGAGAGCTTGGGAGCTTTTATTATAAAGTCCCATATACAAATAAAATAGTGATAAATTACAAAACTGCAAGATGGTTGGGTCAAATTAGGGTGTTGATGCTGGGGAATGAGTGTTTTGGTTTCAGCACTTTCATGAGATACCTGTGCTTTTTAAAGTAATCACAGCACGTAGGTACGTGTTTTTGCAGAAGACTGTTCTTAGTTGATTATATTACAAGAAGTCAAAAGATCATCAAAGACTGCAGGATTTTTACTGTTAATTTTTATGAATTAGATCAAGTTTTTTTGTCCAACTTTTAAAACTCATTATGATAAATGGAGCAAAATTAAACGGGAAGTCAATGGGACCCTAGTTTATTGTATAATTCTTCTGTTAACTTTCTATGGAAAATACCTAAACATAATGAATTGACTTTTTGATATGAAGTGTACAGTTTTGTCCTCTATTAAAATAACCCGAGTAGATCTTAAAGCTGTTTAGTTTGTGATGGTGTGCCATGTTTTTCTTAACCATCAAATTCAGACTATTAAAAACCCTAAAGTTTTAGTAAAATTGGAACAAAGCAGAACTTCAACAAGCTGCTTTGTTGGTATGTTCTATACAATACTGCTTAGTGATGATACAGATAAAGGAAGGCCCCTGGCAGGGCATATGCAGCTAACACAAACAAATACTTGCCTTGTTCACTTAGAAAACAAATAAAGTGATTAAATAGTATTATTAACTATGATATTTTGTGTATGAAGAAACTTGCTTTCAATTCAAAAAGATGAGATGGTGTATTTCCTGCAGCATTATGTGAAACAAAAAATCACATTTCATAGTGGTAAAAACAGCCTTTTTAATCTATAACGTTCTTTAAAATACTTTGGTAATTTCTGCTTTACATACAGAGAAGATTAGGACAGGTGCTGCTTCTTGTATTGGTTTTTCTGTCAGAACCTAATGGGAGAAGAATTTGATCCTGAGTATTCTGACTCTGCTTCCGTAGATGTTACTGAAATATTTTATAAGAGCAAAATTTACTTCATTGGGTAGTTTAAGTTCATTCTATCTCATTTTTCATGTCACATTCAAGTTTATTTCTTTTTGGATGTGTATTCATGTTGTATGCTTTTTACACCTGTTTTTACACCTGTGATGGAAACGCATCTAATACACAAATTTTAGGTTTATTTGCTACAGTATCAATGTGACTTGCATTTTACTCAAGTCAGAATTTTCCTTTGTTAAAGTAGACATTAGATTTATCAACAGTTGAACTTGACTATTAATCTCATTTTGAGATTAGAAGACATTTATCTCACTATTATTCCCATAATTGATTAAAATTTTTTTGTTTCTTTTAAAAAACACTAAAAAAATCGTAGTGGAACCACAGAGTTTTGTATGGTTTTATTGATTATGTTTACTTAAAGCCTTTCTCCAAAATATATCACAGCAATGATAACCACTTGAATGGATTTTGGATTGGACTTCTCATAAATGGAAATAGTTAACCATTATATGTATTTATGTGTGTGTGTTGGTTTAAGAAAGAGTAAAGAGTTTTGATATATTTTCTTTGCGTTTTTAAATGGGGATAAAGAATGATTGATTGACAAATTTCTGACGGTTCTGTAAAATTCAACTTTGTACCTACTTTGTGACCTGAACTGATTATTTAGGGATTTGCTGTTTAAGAGTTTTCATTTGGGTACCACACTTTGTCCGAGGTTATTGTAATCTAAACTTGTTACGAATAACACCTGTGAATAGCTGAGAAGAGTAAACAAAATACATCACATTTTTCCCTGTTTCATTATTGCATTTGCTAGGCAGTATTTAGACTTTAGCTGCAAAATAATTTGTTTGCTTAAGTATTTACAGATCATATTGAAGTCAGCTTTGTCTTCTAAGAGAAATACTCTTAAGAAGTGGAAGAAGTCTAAATCTTAAAGGAGAGCAATACTTGTTGACTGTTTTGAGGTGGTTTTTTTTTAATTAGTCTTAAGGGTTATTGCATTTCATTTGGATGTAAGTTATCCAAGTCTGAGTTAAATATATGAAAAGTCATGTTTGTGGGACTTTGGTCTTTCAGAATAACAAAGACTTTAATGGATCAGGATGGTCCCAGTTGGAGGGAGAAACTGCCACCAATTCCAGCTGTTCCAGTTGCTGCTCAGCTACACAGGTGGGATAGAGGAGACACTCCTTCAGAAAATAAGCCAAGTACTACAGATACCAACAGAGAAGAACAGTTGCAGATGAATCGTATGTATAGCTAATGCAAATTTGTATACAAAAAAGAAAATACTTATAATTGAAAAATGGAATATGATTTAATAATCTCAAATAAACTGCTTTCAAAAATATGTATCGGAGACCTTTGTGAAAAGCCAAGTTAGATGACAGTCATTTACATGATTAGCTTTAATGTACTTTATGGAGAAACAGTTAACATATATATATATATTTTTAAGCCAAGTGATGTGGATTGCAGCATCTAATTTCTAAAGTTATATAAAATAAAATATGGCAGAAATACTAATCGGCAGTATATTGAGTACTATCACAAGTATTGGTTTCCCTGGCATCACACTGCACTTGTAACACAGGTTTCCTAAAAAAACCCACCACTCAAACACCCAACCTCAGTAACATAATCAGCTGCATAATCTGTAGCTGTCAGTTGATGAAAGCATTCACGGTCAGCTCTGCAGAATAGAAAGGGGAGACTTCTAGATGGCCAGTACTTGGTTAACTAATGGGCTACAGAAGAACACTTCTGATTTTTTTATTTAATTTTTTTGGATGGATTCAAACTTTGACAGTGGCCGTTTAGTAGACATCATTCAAAGATGTTCTGGATTTGTTTACACATGAGCACTGAGTGTCTGACTCCTTTAGGACACTTTCTTCCTCCTGATTATTTTTTTTCCCCCCTTCATTGCAGTTTCAATATTTCTCCTCCAGTAAATCAGGTGAAGGAACCTTTCTGGTTCGGCTTTAATTGATACTAAACATCCTCTTTGCAAAGGCTTCACTGTACCATTTCTTACTCTTACTTGACTAATAATTATTTCCTTTGAGTTTATTTAAATATAAAGAGAAGTAGTGCTGAAGACAATCTGACTTGGATTGACACAGGGGAGGCTGCAATGCGTAACTGGGTTGCTGCCCAAAAATGTAGCAGTGATAGAGTTACCTGTCCATAATGCATTACTGCAGTAGTGCATGTCCTCAAATAACCTGCACTCTTGGGCACTTGTCACCCAACGCTAAGGGGACAGACCAGGGGCTGGGTGCAGGGGAATACCCATCACAGGCACAACAGGTTTAATGGCTTTAAAGATTATCTTTCATGTTGCATTAAATCTATTTGTACCTGGTGTAAAACAACAGACAATTTACAAATACATGCATTTATGAGAACTGGACATTTTTCTTGAATTATTACAGAAACTTGTAATAATGTGTTTTCTGTATGATTTGAAAATAGCATATGCTTAACTGCAGTAATGCAATAGAAAATTCTCTTTAAGAAACATCAGGCATGTTGATGTATAATCTAAGATCAATTAAATTGATAAACATTGTACTCTTTTTTAAAATCTCCAATGACTTTTAAGTATTTTTCTTACAATTGTCAATGTAGATCATTACTGATTATCACTCTTAAGGACTGGGCAGCTATTGGGTTTAACTTGTTTTTTTTAAAATGAAGTAGAAAACTGGTATTTTGTACAATTATTGCTATTAAACAACTGCTTAGCTTGAAGTGTTTTTGTTGTACTGATTGTACTCCAGGCTTTTTGTGTTGTTAAGAAATGCAACTTGTTCAATTTTTCTTTCATAATATAACCAACCTTTTTAATCTAAAATTTTAAGTGGTAAATTCAGATCTATTTAACTTTTGGTAGCTTTGTTAAGAGGGAGAATTTGAGGATCATCATAGTGAAAAGTGCACAGCTAAGTGGCTTCTGAGAACACTAGTGATTGTGTTTAGCCTGTTAAGAAACTTAACAAAACTGGCCATCACTGTCTTCATGAAGTGTGCTCTGTGGCATTTTGATACAAAACATGTCTCAATCTGTTTAAAACAGAGTGGGCTTTGGTCAGGCTTTGTTTTTAGAAATACTAAATGAAGAGTGTGTAACCATTTTCTCCACTGAAAACTAACTTTAAGGTTGTGGTTGCCTTCTCAGACCTGTCCTAAATCAGTGGGATGGGACAGTGACAGCTGGTGCCAGAAGAGTGTCAGCAATAGTGTTCAGTCAGTAGTTCAGCTTTGCTGTTGGCTGACACTTTTTGCAACAATTGTCTGTTGTTTTTTGTCTTAGAACTTGAGTTACAATTTAGCTGTGTTCCATGCATGAGTCTGTTCTGGTTTCATGTTTTTACTTAATTTTTTCCCCAAGCTCACATGTAGTTTTCTGGCATAGGAAACTGCCATGTCTTTATAAAAGAACTCACTGAGTTTACAATTGGTTAAAATTATCTGGTTAGATACAGTATTTAATAGTTTGGCAGCTTCTTTAGCAAGGTATGAAAAGTAGATTTTCCATTATGATTTACTTAGAGCTATTTTGCTAATAATTGTTTGCTCACAGCAAAGACGTGAAAGTACAGTCAGGATTGATTTTTCCACTGCAAATACAGCTAAAAATTGTGGTCTAACCTGGAAGCATATGCAACAAATGATGAGGATTTCAGAAAAGACAATTATGGAAGATCACGATACTAATGAAAAAGTATAGTTAGGTGGTTTTTGGTTCCTCAAAGTATCTTTTATGGGTAATTATTAACAGAATACTACTGAGGTATCACTAACCCCTCTTTATGTGATTATTTGTTTCTCGTTGCCGATTATCATAGTAATTGTGGTAGGTAGTGGCTTGCAGAAAGAATATTAGATGAAATTATGGCTGCCTTGAAGTGGTGGTGGAGATCCAGGTGGCCTTCAATCCTGCTGATTAAATCTCCAACATTGTAAATAAAACTGGTATCTCAGTGGAGAAACGTAGTTCCTCTCTACCACACAGAAGGGGTAGACAGAGTAAGTGAAAATATGGCCTGTTGCATTCCCATTATTTTCAGCAGAATAGTTACCTTGGTGCATGAGAAAGTATCAGATATAACAGTTTAGGTCTTTCTTATAGTAGCAGAGAGATCTGGGACAGAAATGGCAATGTACAGACTGATAAAGTTACTCCAGCTGCCAGGCATTTATTCTTAGTCTGGGTAGATTATGCAGCTACATGTAATGAACTGACTTTCTTATGTAACACTGTGATCCTTTTGTAACATAGGTGAGAAAGCTGAGAAGTTCAAGACATTAAAAAGTGAAGGGAATGATTTTGTAAAAGAGGGCAAATATGAAGAAGCTGTAAATAAATACAGTGAATGCTTGAAGTTGAATACTGAGGAATGTACGATCTACACTAACAGGTAAAGATCCCAAACCTAACCCTGCTTTGTGGGATAACAATAGTTATTTCCTCCCTGCACATAGAGATTTTTGCATCCCTTTGGTCACTGTTGTAAAAAAAAACAAACAACACGATTATTTTTTTCCCCCATTTGATGAGTGTTTTCTAATAACAAAATTGATGGTTTTGTTCAACTGCATTATTTTCCGAGTGAAGCAAGTATTAATGTTACTGATATATATCTTAAATTTGTCATATAAAAAGAGTAAGCAATACTAAAATGATAATAGGCATAGCATTTTGCAGCATTGTTTGAGAATACTGGTGTGATTTTAATTAAAAACTAATGTGTGGTAGCAGTATCTCAAATAAGAAGCATAATAGTTCAGAAAAAATGTACATTTTGAGAAAATTGACCTAATTCTGCAACATAATTCTTTATGCTGTGATCTTACCAGCTTTCATAAACTAAGAAGGATTTGATTAGGCCAGTACTTGAATAGGAGACTTCAGAGTAATAATTAGGTGCAGAATGCAGTGTTGCCTATTTTATCTAGAGCACTTTTTTACCAGAATGGCTGTGTAAGATCCATACTATACCATTACCATATTATCATATTACACTAACATAGGCTGTACTTTTAAAATACTTATATATCTGCCCAACTTCATGCATTAGTTGTACTTGATTTTTTACTTCTGTTGCAGAAATTGGCCCTCTCTAAATCTATCCAGTGATGTTATTAATACTTAACTGGTTTTGATGTACTTTTAAAAATACCACAAAGAGACAAAGAGACAGAATTTTGTGAAGCATCTGGATTCACATTTATGAGTCAGATACTGTTGGCACTACAGCACTGTAGAATTTACTTATATTGCAGTGTATTCTGTTTTTCTGTTAGAGCTCTCTGTTACTTGAAACTGTATAAATATGAAGAGGCTAAGCAGGATTGTGATCATGTTCTTCAGATAGAAGATTCTAATGTTAAAGCTTTTTATAGAAGAGCACTAGCGTACAAAGGATTACAGGTGAGGAAAAAGAACATGGCAGGTATTCTTAAGTACTTCTAAATGTGCTTATCCTCTTCAAAGGCAACCAAGTAACTGTAGTCAGTGGATGAATACAAACAAAGTATGCAGTGCAGATGGCTTGTTATTCTGTAGAGTATTAGGCATACACAAAATATTATATGAATATTATTGCAACATAAAAAGCTGCATGTTCACTTGTAATAATTTGAGAAAATACAAGAATATTGGATTAAGAGGTTTGACTAGAGATTGGTTAAGCAAGTTCCAACTCTAATATTCTTCTGAATGTCCCAGTCTGTTACTGTATCTTTGCTGATAACAAAAGGATTCTCTCCAAGTCTGTCTTCATCTGTCCAAACTAAAATCTCAAGCTGTGTCTTTTGGCATCAGCTCATATTCAAAAGCTTGTCATATTAAACCAGGGTTTTAATTATTTGTATTCTCTTTCTTCCTTCTCTAAACACATTCTGAACCTTTGTCAGTAATCTGCTTTCTTACCCTGTGGACAGTGTGGGGACTCCTTTCATCTACTCACTGTTGTTGTCTGTGCTGTGCTCATTTTACACAGTTTTTTGAGCACCCTTTTACCTGATCTTCATAAATGCATTGCTTATATCCAGCCTGAATGTGACTGCAAATCTCATGTTCCATCACTTGAACCATGTGGTTTCTTTTGTTTATCTCTCTGATGCTTCTTCTTCAGTGTTGTTAACTGATTTCTGCACTTCATAAGTTTTTCATAGCAATCCTTACCCTACCTGTCAGCTCTTACCTGTTACTGAATTATCAGCTTCTCACTTCTGTTGCCTCATCATAGCAGCTGTCATCACTTACTTTGCATTACATTTTACAAGCATCTTCAAATAAGCATTTTAAGGTATTCTACCACATTGCTCTGTATAAGTGGAGGTGATCACTCCAAGCATCCATCACATTCCAGCAGCATCTATCAAATGAATACTTACCTTAGACCTCTGTTATGTTTGGTCCCTTAAAAAAATTACCTGATTGTTTCTCAGCTTAAAATCACTTGAGGACAAAGTGTTTGGGCTCAGCAGTATACTAGCTTGTTCTCCTCCCATCTTATAGTTCCAAATGCAACTTGTAGAAACTATGGGATAAATATTGTTTATGATAAATTTGGCCCCCTGTTACAGTAGGCATGAAACTTTGAAACTTGGCTTTGATTGATTTCAAAGAAGGTGTGAGAAGTCTTACTTTTGTGTAAAATCTTTTCTGTAACTATACCAACCTACCTGGTATTAGTCATCCATAACCTTATGTTATTAAAGTTGATAAAAAATTAGTAAAAATATGAGTAAAGGTATACAGTGATTCTATTAGTAAAAAAAAGGGAATTAGACACTAATGAAAAATGTCAGGAATTGGAAAAATAACTTCTTTTTTAAATACCCTAGAAAAATAATCCTAGTTTTATATTATTGGAGACATAGCCTGGAATACACTATTCATGGTTTCCTTTATAACAATCTGAGCTGGGGACTCCCAAAATGTTCTGTTGTGGTTGGATTTAATGTCTTCATTAATGCTAATTCCAGGGATGTGGGTGATTTGTAAAACCAGAGAAAGCAACAGAAGTGATTTGAGTTTGACAAATTACTCTGTAATGAAAAATTCTAAGAGCTAAAAGCATGTACTTTGGCAAAGACCTAACTAAGCTGGGACATGTTATTTGTGTATAAATATCCAGATATTTAACCACGAAAGCTGCTGTGGAATTTAATGTAGTAAATTAAGGGTTTTTTCACAGGTTTACTGAGATGTAGTTAAGGGAAAAACAGAAAGAAATAATGAATTAGGTCTGTAATACAGAACACAGGACCCCAGACTTCATCTCTTACAGCTGATTGTCCAATCTCTTGCTTTGGGTGCAAGCGTCTTGTATGATTTTTGCTGAGGAGTCTGGCAGACTGCAATATCAAATCCAGGAAGGTTGGTTGGTTGCTGATCCTTGTGATCATTTTCAGAAATCTGTTCCAGGATCTTATTTCTCTGTAGTTATCAATCTTCTCATCACATTAAAATGGTTTAGCTGAATTAGTAGCTATTTTCTGATTAAAGCAACCTACCCCCTTTCTACATTCATTTGCTAAAGCTAAATAATTCCAGTTCTCTTACTCATGATACAGCAGCCTTCGGTTCACTTACAATCTTATTGCAATGTCTCTGCACCTTCCACACTGCTTATCAGTATTGAACAAAATACTCTGTGCAGGAAAGAAAATATGAGTGACTTGTACTCTAGAGCTTTTTATTACAGATGTGAAGGAAATACCTCAACTGGTGGGACATGAGGATTTTTTCATGATAATATGAATGACTTAGAGTAATCTTATGATACTGCTTAGAAACAGAAATGATAGGTCCCTCACACAAAGAAATTATGTATCTTTTACTCTCTGCATGGTCTTCTACTGTTTACTGCTATATTTCATTCTTGTTTTTGATACTCCAGCCTTAGAGGTGTCTTGATTTTTCTGAGTGATATTCCAGTCTTCCTCAGAATTGATACTGTTAACTTCGTCTCTGCAGAAAATTTGGCCTAAAAAATAAAATTCCTAATGTCAATGTTTGAAATTAAAACATTAAACAAATGACAAGACTGGTTATTGAGGAACTGTGTCCTAATGCCACTCTTACTGCTGTGTTTGTCCTTCTAATCCTGTTTATCCCAGAGTTCATAATGTAATCCAGATCTTCTCAAGTATTAGCAAAAATTTCCCTTCTCAAAGTGTGAGAGATGGTCTGTGCATTGAAGCCCAGGAAGAGTGTATCTATTTTTAAGTTTAATTTAACTCTCTTTTATTAGCAAAGCAAGTATGCAGATTTGATGGATTCATATTAATACTGAGGAAGTGTTACACTGTAAGCAATTATGCTTAAAAGCAGCAGTCTTCAATGATCTGTTCTCTGGTGCATGGAATATGTCACTCAGAATGAATTCTTTCATATTACATACTTAATATGGAAATATTTAATCACAAGTATTTAGTCCACAGTTTCCTTTTATTCCTTCTAATGAAATTGCACTGTCTCTGTTTAGATTATTTTTGTTGAGTTAATGTCAAGATCCTAGCACTTTTATTTTTATTAGTTGTAAAGGACAGAATGCTAGTTCACATTTATTTTTCTAGTGCTGTGCTTATGAAGAAAATTATTTTGCCTTCTGTTCACAGAATTACCAAGCCAGCATTGATGATTTCAACAGAGTGCTTCTAATAGATCCAGATGTTCTTGAAGCAAAAAAGGAACTAGAGGAGGTAACCCAACTGCTGGACCTTGACAGCAGTGGTGTAGCTGGTAGTCAGCAAAAGCAAAGGAAGAAAATAAACATACAAGAGGTAAAAGCAGGCAGTACAGAAGCCACACATTTGATGAGATAATATTAAAGCTTTTGTTTTGCACTTTATAACTCTGCTTTTTTGGGGGAGGTTGTATTTTTCATGTTATTTTGAGGACATACTGGAGGATTCTTGCATATGATGTGTTCAGTGTCCATTACATTCTATAGTAAAGCTTGGACTGCTTTGAAGTGTATTCAGAACCACAGCAGAAATGGAAAAAGTACATTTAGATAGCACTAAACTTGAGGATGTGCTCCTTGCAAACTGCTTAGCCTTTGAAATACCTGTTTTACAGAACATGGCTGCTAAGTAGCAGGTTTGGCTTTAGAGTCTGTGCTACTCGGGCAGCCTTGTGCTGTGCTAGCAAAGGGTCACTGCCAGCAGGTGTGCTGACTGTTCTTGTGCTGGTGGTGAAGTTGAAGAATGAAATCTTGCCATAAAGAGCAGGAATATGGGTATAATATCTGTCAGATCTTATAAAAGGAATATATGGTGTAAATTTTGGTACTGGACCAAAGGATTTTCTCAGTCATCTGATATTTTTGGATTGTAGCTCTGATGGTCCTTCAAGAATGTTTTGGGTTGTTTTTTTTAATTGTGAAATACACAGTTAAAATACATAGTTACCAGTCTGTGTGGTGATCCTCTAATTTGGTAATGCAATTTCAAAAGGGTGGTATAATGGAAAGTGCAGTTATTAATATAGAAACAACTTGTTTTATTGAAACACCTCACATTGTCACAAATTCATGGGATTTTATGTAACTAGCATAAGCTGGGCATAGTGTTAGCTAACCTCTGAGTTGTGACAACCAAAGGGACCTGGAGAGTGTTTAGGGAGGTTTAGGAAATGACTGCATTGTTCAGAGACCAGCTAACAAAATTACTGGCAGTGGTAGTTTCACCAGGGGTGGGGCAGGAAACATTTATGTTTGCTGTTATAATTGCAGTTGCTCCTTAGGGAGCCTTCCCTGTCTTATCTGCTGTAGTACAGGGTAGTTCTGTGAAAACATTGCAAAGAAAACTAAGGAAAATTTGATTAGGAAATGGGCACCTCTCCTATGAGGACAGGCTGAGAGAGCTGGGGTTGTTCAGCCTGGAGAAGGCTCTGGGGGGACCTCACAGTGGCCTTCTGGTACCTGAAGGGACTACAGGAAAGTTGGGGAGGGACTTCTTACGAGGTTGATTGTAGTGAGAGGACAAGGGGTAATGTATCAAAACTGGAAGAGGAGAGGTTTAGGTTAGACATTAGGAGGAAATTCTTTAGTGTGAGGGTGGTGAGACACTGGAAGAGGTTGCCCAGGGAAGTTATGGAAGCCCCATCCCTGGAAGTGTTCAAGGGCAGGTTAGATGGGACTCTGAGCAACCTGATCCAGTGGAGGGTGTTCCTGACCATGCAGGGGGCTTGCATCTAGATGATCTTTAAAGTCCCTTCCAACCCAAACCATTCTGTGATTCTATTATTATTGTTCCATTTTAATCGAGCTATGTTTATATGTAAGACAGTAAAATTTCCTCTCTTGATACTAAGGATTGTTGATAAAATAGTAAAAAAAAAGCCTATAAATCCAATACAGCATTTTGCAAAAATGACTAATCCAGCTCACAGCACAACACTGTACTATGCAGTACAGCATCTTCAGGCTTTCCACACACCTTGGCATCCATTGAAGAGACCACATTCAATGATAATTTAGTCAGTTTGTACTAATTCCACAACTCTTTGATAGCTTGAAATGGATTTTAGCAAATTTAGTTGACCCCATCGTTCATTTTCTAACTGCTTCATTAAATAGTTGGTACAAGCTGCAAACTCTGGAGAAGTTATTTGGGTCTTTAGGCAGTGAGACCATGCTGAGCTTTCTCCTTCTGCAGCAAGACTGCAGACAGCAACCTGATACAGGTGCCATGTAGCTGTCCTAGTCTGAAGGCACAGCAGTGAAATGAAACATGGGTATCTGCTGACTGAACTGCAGTTCTGCTTCTTTTCTGCAGCTTTGCATTCAATGTGTGTACAGTCCTTCTTAGCTTTCTCCCAGTGGCCTTCAGATGTCTTGCTGCAGTGGAGAGCCAGGCAGTGAGAGGAGTTGTGAAGTGCACACTTGTGACTACAAACCTTTAAAGATTAGAGAGATCCTATCCTGGGGGGAAGCAGGATGGAAAGGAATATTTTATGAAGAGTAAAGTGTAACTTTAATTTAATGACATTATTGATGGATATATGCAAACTGTTTATGAAGCTTCAGATTATCCACATTAAAATGATTTGTTGCTGTTTTCTTTGTGAAGGTGACTGAATCTGATGAGCAGGAAGAGAGACCACTTGCTACATCAGATGTTGTGACTGATCATGTTACTTCTAAGGAAGCATTTCAGAAGAGTGTGCCACTGAAGACCTCTGAGAAACTCCGTGTTTCTGAACCATCTAATGCTTATGACTTTGGTCAGTTAATAAATGCAGTAAATGCCAATAAGGATGAAGCTGCTTGTGCAGATCTTTTAACACTTACTGATCCAAAAAAATTGCCAGTGCTACTAAGTAACAAACTTGAAGGAGAAATCTTCTTGATTTTTATCCAGTCATTGAAATATTACATAGTTGGAAAAGATCCTGGCCTTGTATATCAGCACCTTTTCTACTTAAGCAAGGCAGAAAGATTCAAGGTAAGAAGCTAGACTGAACGTGTACATACGTTGAACAGAAATCTACAGGAAGTGTTTGTATCTTAAAAGGAAACAATACACTGATTTTGTGTCTGATGATTTTCAGATGTGTATGATGGTTTTCAATCAACCTGTGCTAATTTTAAACTAATCATTTTTCAGGTGGTGCTGGCCCTTCTTAGCAAAAAAGAAAAACAACAGGTTCAGCAACTGTTTGACTTACTTTCAGAAAATCAAGATCATCAGCACTCTTTGGAAGATCTTGAGAGCCTAAAAAAGGTGTATGAACTTTAAGAAGTTAAAATGTCTTGGTTGCATGCATATAGTTCCTGTGTTTAAGATGGATGTATGAAATCTGCAGACCTGCATGGGTTGAAGTGGGTCTTTACCCAGGCTGGTCGGATGCTATTTTGTTTTGACAGCATATGCACATTTAAAACTTGCTGCTCTTTTTTTCTTATAGTTGTACACATTTTTAAGCTGTAGAATTTAGTGCATGTTTTTGCACTAAACACTAGTTGGTGTTATTTGGCTTACTGATCTTATTTAGACTGTTCATTATATATAGATGAAAATGTATTTTACGTTACATATATATAATGTGAAATACACCTTGATGGTACAATAGATAATGACTTTTAGTAATCTCTGATATAAATTTTCTGAGTTGTATGTTCTTGTGATAAAGAAGTGTCTTCAAGTGAAACGGGTCAGTTAGCAGTAGGTTTGCTAACAGGAGTTTACAAGAAGTATTAATATTTTTCAGATAAACTGCTACAGACCAGCTGTTTCTTCACTACCCTTGCACTATACAAACCAGATTAAAATCTTTTTGGTGCAGTACAGCTTAGCAGCAAAGGTGAATGAATACTATATTAGCTGGGAATGCCTGGAATCAAAATAATAAAAAAAATTGCCGTGTTTTTTTAATTATTCATGAGCAAGTAATTTTTAGTGCACAGAGAATTATTTTTCTCTGTTTGTGGAAGGACTGCTAGTTTGCATGGCTTTTGAAGTGACTGAAACAGAAGTGGCTGCACGTAGCAGTAAAAATATTTAACTCTTGAGTTTTGTAATCAGATTATTTACACCAGCTATTTCTGTTTACAGACATACTCACAAAGCTAAAAGTAAAATCATTTTGTGGACCAATATGATTTATTTTTGTTAGTTCAGGCAGTACTTAGGTTTTATGTTTTATTCTAACAAAGCTTTTTTCAAGATGAAGCTTTTAATTTTTTCCAAACACTCCAATGCCTTCTTTGCACATGTGATATAAATGTGTGTCAGACTCACTAGCACTGCAGAAATATCATTAAGAATGTTGTTCTAATGAAAGTTTTTCTCAGGTGTATATTAATTTAAAAAAAAAATAAAGTTTTTTCTTGAAAAGTAAAATTATGGATTCTCTTTTCTGGTTCTGCTTTCTTTAGGCTTATAATTCTGATGTGTGGATTATGAGGTTTGTCTTTGAGTGCCAAGAATGAGGCTTTTAATTTCTAAAGTGCTGTCAATACAAGTGTTTTTTCTTCTAATGTGTCCTTTTTTTATAAGATTGTCATGTGTCCAGGAGGGATCTATGGCTCATCTAATCTATGCATAACCAACTGTACCTCACCAGCAAAGTGCTAAGTTCATTCTTCAGTCATGGTGGCAAGATATTAACATTCATTAATTTGTGAGTTAATGATATGTCTCTTTATTTTTTCACTGTAGTTAAGTATTTTCAGAGAAGATTCATTGTATGTGTTCAACTTACTGACATGGTTTAGAAAACCTAATCTTTATTTAATTGAGTTCAGAGTGGTTTTAATAAGTTGTATTAATAATAAAGGCTTTAGGAAAAAGTTATTTTGCTAAAAGAAAGCCTAAAACCCAGCTATGTAATTTTGAAATAGACTCAATTGCTTGAAAAGTGTAATTGAGTAAGAGACAGTGTCAAAAGCCTCATCACCAAAAACTTTTGATGAAGTTGGATGTTCTTTATGCCACAAAAACCCCAAGTATTAAAAACTCTGTAGATATCTGCTATGAAGCAATCTTGATTGCAAAAGTTTGTCTCTCATTTCTAGAATTTGTTTTGGCACTGAAGGCAAAAATTGGAATCTTTGAGCTGTAAATCATAACAAAAAAATAATTTTGTAGATTTAGGAGACAGATACTTTTAAAAGGATACTTTAAAAGGCAAGATTTTTTAAATGGAGTGTCTTGACATCATTTATCCAGGACATAAACAAATGGGCTTTCATGGATGGATATAGTATCACAGTTAATTTTAGGACAATTTTAATCAGTCCCTCATGATTAAACTACAAACCTAAAACATAGTCCCTGATGAAGTAGTTTAGTAGCTCTGGGAAGGTACCTTTTCTGATCATCTCTTCTAGCTTGAATGTCAGCTGAGAGAGCGAGTGCACCAGCACTCTAGGTAACAGGAGTTTGCACTTATGTTACTTTGTTCCCTTCAAGATAGTTTTGAAAGCTTTAGAGAAGCCAGCTCCAGGCTGACCAGGTGCTGGCACCCAAAGGACCCCGTAAAGGGGCTGTGCAGGATGAGTGACATCACGGATAGGGGTTTTGGCCAAAAAGCTGAGTTGTGGCCAAGCCCTCAGCATGGCTCCTCTTACTCTTCCCAGGCAGCGGAGCAGGCAGCAGAGGCTGGTGAGAGCCCTTTTGTGGGAAGTTTCTTCCTCACCTCAGAGCCTGCTCAGCTTTATCTAAATCCAGTTGCACAAATAAAGGGCTGCTCTCTGTGGCTGGCAGACCTTTCAGAAGCATGCGAGCTCAAGCATTTAGATTTGTTCATTGCAGTAAAGAAAAGGTGTGGTGGTTTTTTTTTTAACAACAGGGAATGAGACTCCTTCACCACTTGTAAATCAGCATTTATGACCCAAGTCAGTGTAACTGCTGACTGCCCATAAGCTGTGGCTACCCAAGGGACAAAGGGAAGGGTATCAAACCCCATGGCTGGCTGAAAGAGTATTAACTGTCCAGCACATAAAATAGTGTGTTCAGAAACTGCTTGAGCACAGAGCCTGCTGCCTAAACCAAGCTGCTCTGATTTAGGCTGTGGTGAATTTTAATGTCCTTATTGTGGGGATGGTGAGGTGGGCTCATCAGAACCTGATCAAACAGCTCTTCCAGCTGCAGCAAGGAAGCTGCATTTTGTGGCAGGCAGATACCCTCTGCTGCCTGATCCAAAACATTTCAAGGGAAGTCCAGTGCAGCAGTTTGACCACAATTAGGTCCAAGCCCAGAAGCTGGCAAGGGGATGCTTTTTCCTGGTTGTGCTCGAACACACTTTAACCTCCTTCACCTACTCCCTGGTTCCAACCAAGCATGTAGCTAAACAAAACAGCTCTGAGCTGGGGCCAGCAGTGTCACACAGGGCTATGGCTGTGTCACAGCATACTTGGCTCTCTGACACTTTGCTGTACAATCCCACCTTCTGGGCTCCCCACGTGGCCCCTGCAGCGCCCACTCTGGGTTCATCCTGTGCTCAGCCTTGCCCAATGCCCGAGTTGGCACAGCTCAGCACTGGCTGCCTATACTAGACTTGCAGCTTTCCATGCTCCATGAGAGCTGGGAGGAGAGCCTCAGGTTTTCCATGGAGAAGTGAAGCTGAATGAGGTCACATGGCAACCCCACTGCAAAGCCAGAACCAGATTGCCTTGGATCAGTTTCCCTGCTCTAGGAGGGGACTACCACGATGGGGATGGTGCAAAGATCTGCGAGGAACTGCAGCTCTCAGCCAGGCTTCCCTGTGGCACAATCCAGTCTCCCCCACTGGGCTCCAGCAGCTGCTGGGCTTTAATCACCCAGAAGGAACAGAAACCAAACACCTGAGCAGGGAGCCCTCAGCTTCTGTCCCCACCTCTGTAGCTGCAGCACATCCCTCACACCTGAGGGTCACTGCACCCCAGGGTGCCCAGGCAGCAGAGCCCACCAAGGCCAGAGAAGCTACCATAAAAATCACCAACTCATTCTGAAAAGCTGTTGCAATGTCTCTTCTACAAGGAAGCACATGAGAAAATACAGAGAAGTATAATTAATAGATACATATGAAATATATACATAAAATCCAGCTCATGAAAAAATACAATTTCCTGACACTCAGTTGTGCCTCGACACTAAAACTTTCAGCAACCTCAAAGACAACTCTCTTGCTTCCCATAGTCCTGAAGGCACTTTAAAATACCCATGTTTCTATTTGAGCAATAACTGCCTGAATTTGAACCTGTTTAATCTGAGAGGTAAGGAGGAGGTCCAGAGTCAGCAACTCAGAGGCTCCTCCATCACAACCCAAGGGTTCCCTTCACAACAGCAGGAGGGTCAAGTCTTTTGTCACCTTTTCATTTCTGGAAACCTGAAGTGCAACAGAGGCCAGGAAGCATCCAACCTGCTCCACAAGTTCTGTGTACATTTTCCCTGCTTGCACAGAGGTTTTGCTCTGTTTCTCATGTGCATAACAATTATACTCCATACAGTAGGTCTGACATGATGTTTTCAAGGTGTTGAGCTGGCAGCACAGCTGTTGCACAGGATACATGTAACTGTTTCAATCTGGGTGTATTATAGGAACTCCAGAAGAGGAATGCCAGCCCACCCTACCCACAGCACTCAACCACCACTGACACAGAAAGTGCCTGGGCTGTGGGCTCAGGCAAGTTTCCTGCCTCAAAGTCCCGTGACAGACCCTTGGAGCACAGCTGCGCTGCCAACTTTCCAGACACCTACATAGGACAGGACATTTTACCCTCCTTAGTTTCTGCTCAGTGCCCTTTTTGCCCCTTTCCTTCTATGATTTGTCTGAAATACAGTAAATTTTAACTAGACAATTTCATAGCACATAACCTGGTATTTTGGGTGGGTTGGTTTGTTTCCCTCTTGAACACCTAAATCAAGTGAAATTTTATTAGGAAATTATTAACTCCAGCTACTATTTTTCGACCAGCTGCTTGGCTATCCTTACAAAGCATTATTATCCATGGCAGTGATGCTATTACTAAGTAGGCAACTATTTAAAATTAATTTGGATTTGTGTATCAAAACATAAGGCAGTTAAAAAAATGTTTACGTATCACTAAGAAGTAATCAGTTCATGGATGCTAAAGTTTGAGACACTGATTCCATGAAAGGAAGGGATGTTCAAGTCCAGATGCTTTACTACAAAAATGCATATTCAAACATTGGGAAGAAAGCTTTTATAACCATTTTTATCTATCTAAAATGGTAACTGTCTGAGGTACTCTGTGATATAACAGATGTTAGAATTAATTTCCCCTGAGATTCACAATCTGACATAAATTAGTGAAATTGGCCAGGAACCATAAAGACAATTTCTGAAAAAGAGCCACAATGTTAGGAGACCAGATATAAACTTGATCTTTCTTACGGCTTATTTCAGTGAAAGAAAAACTTAAGTTTTATTGAATTCTTACACTGGTAGATCTATAAATAAGAGAAGCATCTTCTGTACCATCGTATTGATGGAAGTGTTCTCTCTTTTTTATAAATTTAAAATCCAATGCTGCACTAAGTTTAGTGCTGTTTAGACTCACATATGAAATATTATCTCTGAGCAACAACAAAAATTACAAAATGTATCAGTAGTATGTTTTCTGCTAAAAATTTATCCAAAACTGAACAGAAAACCTTGCCTATATTTTAATACTAGTTTCCTCGTAATGTGGGATATAAAATTACCAAAGATGATTTCCGAGTGCCTAAGAATAACACTATCATTTGATAAAATTTATTTGCAAGAGCAAACTATTTTCAACTTCCTGCACAGCAAAGTTAAGAGTTAGGCTTAAACATAAATAGGTCTCCACCTCCCAGTTCCCTTATGTTTCCGTTAGATTGCATCAGTACAAATTCATGTGCTTTAATAATTTCATAGGTGTACTGGATACAGCCAATTCACACATTTTCAAAGCTCCAGACCATTGCTATTGCAAGAGGCATTCAGAGGCATCAGAGGCATCAGACTAAACAAAACAAAAACTGAACAAAAGCAGAGAGACATGTTCACCTTCTGCTGTCTGGCACAGAACAAACACATCTAGCTTAAGATGACTAATTGGCAGTGGTCATATGAGAGTGCACAGAAATTTAACTTACTCAGAGGTTTGGAAATAGGAGGTCTTGAAGAACATTCACCTGTTGTACTGGATGTGCAGTGACAGAGGCATAACTGGCTCAGCAAGTCACATTTTACTCCATTTTCCAGCCTCCACCTAAAGAATCAGGTAACACTTTAGAAATGTCTCTGTTAATCACAAACTGAACAGGCCTGAAAAATTCTATCAGAGTTCACAAGCTAGTGGTGTAAGATGATAAACAGCAAATGCTTCGTTCAGCTCCTACTGATCCTAATTCAATACATTTCCTCTTCCATAAGGTGCTTTTTAAAAGCGTTCAGACTGGAAAAAAGTAGTTAGTCAGGAACAAAGCACAAAAAGGAACTGTTAGTACTAACCTCCCTTTGAAATACAAAATTCACATTTGCTTCCAATTCAGACTGCCTGGTGACACGGCAAAAACTGCCTGAGTGCCCTGCTCCCATTTCTAGGGTACAATATGTTTCACCTGTCCTACTTCTTATTGTCTCTTTGAGCATCTGCCATTGGAAATGGCAGAAATAATACTCTAATTGTAGCTTGAGTGTGACGCAGTGTAAAAGTTCCCCTCCTGTTACTCACGCTGATGTCAATATAGCTCACATAGGGGACTGGGATGAGGCAGATCACACTGTCTTTGGTAACACATCCTAATCAGTTTGTTTCTTACTTCCAGAGCCTGTCATGATGCAGGTGATAAAATAAGCCTGACAAACAGGCAAGTTCAGCCAAGCAAAAACCACCAGTTGTTACTCAGAAACTGGCCCATCTGCAGGGTTTCAAAATGAACTTCTTATAGACTGTCAGTTGGGAAGAGAACCATTTTAGATGGAGAAGTCAGAGCTTGAGTTTGGCTCAGCAATCTGAGCAGCCTGTCCACTTGTACCAAGATGGTCTCACATTGTTCAGAGAGTAATAATCCTCACACCAGAGCAGCATCTGCTCAGAAATCCATTTGCTGTCCTGCCTGCCATGCAGGCAGCTCAGGTTGCTGCTCTTTAAGATGAAAAGAAATCCAGTTGAAGTGTTGTACAAAATGCAAGTAACTTTAGATCTTATGTTTCAAAGTATCAGAGCATTCAACTTCAAAAGCCCACCTAACAACATGAAAGTGTTTAAAGGCAGTAAGAGAAGACAGCAGTCAGCACCTTACAGGGAGGAAAAAAAAAAAAAAAGCACTTCCTGGGAATATACACATTTCTATAAGGCTCGTCAGCATGCTCAACAAAGGACCACTAGAAGTCAGTATTTAGACATTTATTTCAGATATGCAGTTTACACGCCTATTATTGAGCAAAACTGATTTGCAAATATACAAACACTGTAACAAGCATTATCAAATAACATAACTGGCACTAGTGTTATAAGCATATTACTGAAAGTGGTGAGGATAAGTCATGGAAGAGGACTGCAGCTGACGGCATTTTATTTTTATCCAACCAAACTTCCAGTAGCACCATAATGGCAATACATGAAACACAAGACAAAACATTGTTAACTGTTATTCTGATATTCACAATATTTTATTAATTTTTTTTAATCTTAGTTAATTACATAGCAAAAAAACCCCCAACACGTTAACAGTGCAGGCGCTTTGGCCAGCTTGAGTTTGTGTTCAGCTGTACATCTTCCATAGGCAAAAAGAAAGGAAAAAAACCAGCATATTTGGAACCCATCTTTACACTTGGGCTGTCATTGCACTGCACTTTGATTCTGGGACTGAAGATACGCATGTCTTGCACAGGGATGTCATGTCCACTAAAGCCTGAGTGAGTCTTTGGTAGGCTAACACTTCATTATTACTATACATTTATCTACCACAGTCATTTTATTCACTAGAATTTTCTCTTGTGATCCAAGGTGGCCAAAGAGGACATTCTGGAAAACATTACAGTAAAATCCTCAAACGACCAGGCACTTCAAACCCAGTCTTTTCCAAAGGCACCAAGAACTGATGGGGCACTGTTTTCCCCCCTAATGAAAGGTGACAGCATCTGCTTTCTACAATGCTTATAAATCACTGGACTGTTATTTTTACAGTTTTTATACACTATATAGTAGCCTTATCTGCTGCATGGTTGGTTGCATGAATAAGTAAGTAACCCCGCTGCTCTTCACAGGTGACATCTCCATTCCACCATACATTAAGTACCAATTTCTTCTGTTTCAAAATGATGTAAAATGCCATAACCTTGCTCAAATTGTACACACAAACACTTCTGACACAGGCTACATCCATCTGAAGATATGCAGATCATTCTGCATGCATTCTCATTACGGTGTGTGTCCAGTTATGAAACAAAATTATCGTTATAAATATTCACTGTTGAAGGATGTTTGTACAGGTCTCTGCAAAACCTCTGCTTCCTTAAATAGAATTCACACAAGAATGGTTTTAAGTCACTAATGCTCAGCTAACACCCATTTATCCCAAACCCCATGTTTTCCAAGTGAACAGTGCAGGACATATTATTCATTTCAGCATTTAACATACGAAGAATTTACCACTTTTGACCTAAATACACCAAGTATATGTTTTCAAGCAAAGTTGTGGCAAAAATACAATACATGGACACATCTGTTCTGCTGTAATGCACTTGGTTAAAGCCTTCATGTGTCTTCACACAGGTCTAAGATCCATATGAAGTATTTTGCCTTAGCAGACAAGTATATATAAAATGCAGTTGTATCAAAACCTTGCTTCTGCTGGTCACCTGAAACTTTGGGAAGTTCCATGTAATTCAACCAGCTTTCAGACAGGGTTCTTTAGTGGTAAATACACTTTTGCAGCACTTATAGGCTTATATTTCAGTCTGAATAGCAGTGCTTAACTCCCCAGCATGTTGTGAATGGTTGTTGTTTGTTTCTTTCAGTGTTTCAACACCACCTAAATCTAGGTCTTTCGAAGACCCATTATGAATGCTTTCCTCAGCAATGTAACTCAGCTGTGGAACATCGGTGCTTGGGGCTGTTGGAACAGGAGCAGGGATTCCACTTGGCTGTGGAGAGTTTTCCAAGCGATCGTTTTCCACCTCTGGGAGGACACTGACTGTGGTAAAGCGAGTATGATAGTCGCTGGAACCATGGCTACAGGAAGTTTTCATACTTTCCATATCTGAGCAACTAAACTCAGAAAAATGGCTGGAGTGGGAATCTGCTACAGATGGGATACTATCGCTAAGAGAGGGAGAGTCAAATTCACTGGAGTTTGTGCTTTGTTGTTCCAACAGCTGAGCATCCATGTCCTCTCTCGTCTCGTTTATCTTCATGCTGCTCTTCTTTCTCAGCTTACCTTTGCATTTTTTTCCTGCTGTTGTTTCTTTGGACCACTTGGTGGCACTAGATTTGCTTTCTGGCAGGCACGCCGAGGAACACCCGGCATTACTGCGACCGGCAGCGCTGCCATCATCAACGCTGCTGCTTCCGCTGTTGTGTCTGAATTTGGCCGGCTTGGACTCAATATCCACTTGCACTTCCATACTGTTGCCTTCCCTAGAACAAGCAGGAATCCGTGAGTATGAGCGGTCACCTAAGACAAGCCAGCTAACACAGCAAAACAAGCTCTTACTGCTTTTCAAGACACACAGCAGAGGGAAGTTAGAGAGATGTAACTTGTTTTAGAAAACGTGTTCCACCAAAGAAATGGCCCAAAGAAAAAAAAAATCTGAAAGATCACACCTTTACTGAGCTCCAGTGATGGCATTCATGCTTAGAAATTACCCATAAGCAGACACATGTAATTCAATTTGTAACAGAATTTGCAGTTTCAAAGCATAATTAGTAAAGAACAGCTGAGACATGCTTAGAACATCCTTTAATAACCAAGGCATATTAATTGTGTATTTTCACCACACTTCTCTCACCTGTCCAAAGGGATGTAGGAGTTCAGGATGGATCCTGCCATTGCTTTGGTACTGGCATTATCACTAACTGTTCCCAAACTAACTGTACCAGATTCTCCACTCAGACTGTATCGTTCTTTCTGTACGTCTGCTTGTACTTCCAGTCTTGGAGAGAAAGAAAGTTACATACATTATACTGCTGCTACAGTTAAAGCACACTAGTTGAAAATTAGTTTCTCCACTATTCAGTAGTAAGTAAAGTTTATTAGCTACTCCAGTACAGATACACATATTAACCCTACTGAAACATGTTCTCTCTTCATACTGTCAAAAAAGACCATTTTCTGATTAAAAACTAAACCAAACCTCCCAAAAGCAAAACCAGATTAACCTTCCAACAAAGCAAAATATTGTATGTTAACCAGAGGTTCTAGACTGTCTCCTCAAGATTTACAAGAAAAACTTCCAGGCTTAGCTACAACTCTTTTGCAGAGAGTGCCCTGTACTTTGTTTTTCCATCTTAAACAGAAGGGTACATAAGCTCAAGACATTACAGTTCCCCTGCTTCTGTAGCTGCAAAATTATCACTAATCAAATAACAGGCAGAGAACCGTGTTCTGTACTCTGCTTTTCATTGTATTGTTATCAGCTCCCAACAGGAAAAATGGAAACCTGAGCAATCTGAAGTTGGGCTGAGAAGATAAGGCAGGAATCAAATGATAAGTTTTTTTCCAAATGCCTTGTTCAGTGAACTGGAAGTAGTTTTTTGTTTTGTTTTCCACCCCCAGTACTTTAAAAAGGAGGACAGGCACACCTCAGTCAGCAGTCACAGCCTGAAACACATAAGGAAATTCCTGATGCTCTCCTGCCTGCCTTGTTCTAAATAGCCTGGACTGCCAAATTACCTAAGAAAATGAGCAGTGCTAGTACCTGATTTAAAGATCAAATTCCATCCTGAACGCTAAATGTTAATAATCCTTTCCAGACATTCCCTTTCTCTTCAGGGTGTGGGACAGCCAACAATCAGTAAGGCCTTGATTGACAGGAGGTACTGAACACCTAAGTGACAAGAAGTTGTCACCTCAGCAATGCCAGGTGTCCAGCTGCCTCCCCTCCTGCCTAAGCCCATTCTGAATCCACACTCCAGCCAGGTGTTCTGAAAGAACAGCTTATTATTTGTAAACTATTGAACAAGTCAACAGGTCTGACTTTGGGGTGAGATGCACCAGAGAATACAACTGTGCTAGATGTGAAGATTTGTCTCTCTGACTCCTGGGGAAGAGACTGCTCTCCTGGGAAGGAGAACAAGATTGCAGGCTCCACCTCACTTGAAAAAAACTCAAAGACTCTCAAAGACTCTTCTTTGAGGATTGTAGTCTGGCAGGAAATTGACAAGTTTGCCATGGATGAACTGTCCCTATCTCCCAGAGACAGTCCCTTTTACCAGGAACCAATTGAAAAAAAAGTATCTCAAAAAAACCTGAGTAATATTACTTCTGCTTACATGTAGAGCAGGATACACCTGGCAGAAAGAATGTCTCTTACCTGTTAAAGCAGTTAACCATTGCACTTCCTGAGAGACTCCCTGTGATGCTAGCCCCAGCCAGGGCCATGGTACTGGCAGTTTCACTGAGGTTGTCTCGAATGGCTCCTATTCTGTCCATGTGGCTGCCACTTGCACTCAGGCTGCCAGTCAGTCCTCCAACACTCCCCTCACCTATGCTAGGGTTATGACGTGCCTCTGCTACTGAAGTGGTATCTAGACAGAAATAAAGAAGCCTTGTCAATTATGGGAGCAGAACTTAGTAGCTTCTAGAATGTGACCATGGAAATAGTTCCTGAAATTACACTGAGAAAAAGGATTTGTAAAACATACTGTGACAAAGATAACTTTGTAAAAAAACAAAAAACCCCCAAAAAACCCACAAAAAACAAACCACAAAGAAAAAGACCTCTCTTCAAGTTGCTATAATGCTAGATACTTAGAAGAAGTTAGCCACTGATAAGACAGGTAACATGGAGTCAACAAAAACAGAGAGACCCTGCCACAAAGGATATTGCCATGTAATAGAAATAGTGAAGGATCAGCATCTACTTCCCCCTACTAGAGACAAAGAGATGAAAGCCAGCAAGCTTCCACAAACCAATCCTCTGCAAAAGAAGCATTAATTTTCGCTTAAAACTTCTACCTATGAAAAAGACCTTAGTTGAGTCTGGTTTTGATTCAAACGGGCAAGAAAAGCTTCAAGGTTTGTATTATAGCACAACACGAACAGAGAGACACTATCCTCATCTGAGAGTGGTATTTCAGCCACGAGCAGAGGCAGTCCTGTATAGCACATCTTCTGCAAATAAGTACTCTTGTCTCTAAGGCCATCAAATCTAAGTCACAAACCCCAAATTTACAGAAAATGAAACACACAATTTTCTTACCTACAGCTGCATTTGTTCCACCCACATTTATATCATTTTCATCATCAAATTCTATCCTGACTCCTTTTCCATTGCCTGCTGACACACCACAGCCTCCACTCCGGCACAGGGAAATTGGAACAACTCCATACACGTAAGCCAGCATAATAGGAACACCAATACCTACAGAGCAAATACAGTCTTTCATTAAATGTGACTTACATTTTAGAGCCTTTCATAAAAGCTATTTCATTTTCCACAGTTACTTAATTTTTCACACTTGAAAGAAGTCAGGAGGGAGCAAAATCAAGGAACATTGGTAAATCACTATGGTGAAATGACAGGAAAGTGCTTTCAGCAGACAGAATGTCCTCTATCAGCATTGGTAGGCAGAGGAGCTTAATGCTTGATGAATTAGTACTTCCAGTATATCCACTACATCTTCCGCAAACAAAATCAATATACTTTAAAGGTTCATATATGTAAGCTCAATTGGGAACTGTAATAATGTTTCACCTGAGAAGCAGAAATAGATTCATTTCAAAAGTTGTTCAACCAAAAATGTTACTACCTCTACTTATTTAATTAGAGGCTTGATACTGCATCCATTGAAGTCAGCAGGGTTTTGCTATCAATTTAATAGGACTTACCATTTCTATTTCTGTGCAACCTTTCATATTTATTGTATCACACTGATTCAGTTTGAAAATTTTAATTATGAAAGTTTTCCTTCAAAGTAAACAATTATTTGGAGAAGAGTGGCAGGGGTAAGGGAAACCATTGAAAGAACTGTGGGCTAAAGCATGCATAGATATACACACACTTCCACACCATCTCTTCTAAGGGACAATGAAAAGTTCCTCCTTTGGTACATGCATGACATCATTCTATGGCTTTGCTGATGGTACAGAAAAATGTCAAGCTAGCACATTCTGGAGAAGCCAGGACAGAAACAGACCTAATGCAAAGGCTCCTCAGACTAACCTAAAAGGTTCATTATAGAAGCCCCTTTCACAAGAAATTCCTCACCATTCAAAGAGGAAATCCATATTCTCAAGTTGATTACTTTGGAAGCCATATAATGTCCCGAGACTGGAGGCTGCGTGCTAATGGCAACGGGACAAGAGTAAAAGCTCCACCAAATAAAAACCCAACTCCTTCCCTAAAAAGCCAAGTTTTGCCTCTGATCAAGGACAAGAAACAGCTCAAAAGAATGAGGTAAAGCAGACCTGCAAATCCATCTATGGGACTCTGTGTCCCAGTACTTGTTCAGCAGGGATGTGACAGCACAGCTGCATGAGAGCAATGCAATGCTGACAGACACCAGACAGTTTTATGACTAGTATATCTGCATTTGCACAGTGGTTCACCACTGTTAGCAAGAAGGTTAGGGCCACAGCTTTGTGGACAATTACATCACTTGCTAAAACTGGCCCTGTCTTCCCAAAGCCACTCATTCCTCTCTGAGCATAACTTCTGGCACAAGGGGAAACACTGCATCCACAACTGTGTGATGAATGGGATCAGGGAACTGATCCAGCTTAAAACCCAGTGGTGGGTTTTAATGAGAATCAGTTATCACGGCAGTTACTGTGCAATGCAGAGGTGCAACAAAGGAGAAGCAGCAGAAGCACTGCTGGGCAAGTTCACTCCTTTCAAAAAAAATCAGGGTTTGTTTATGGTGGTCTTGAAATTACACGTTAAGTATTTTGTAATGTACAGCTAGATTTTCCTCAAATGCCATCTTCAACAATCTCTATAAGAATGGCACAGAATTCAAACTGATTCCCAAAGCATAACAAATACTTTATCAATTACTGTCACGTTAAGTGTAAGAAACTACTTTTCTTCTGTGTTGAGAAAAGTTTGATATGAACTCAATATGAACAGGCTATGTGGCAAGGTTTTTTTCTTATTCAGTCACTTAAAAAAACTTTAAATACTTAAGTTTTGAAAGACATATGACAACGTGGAGATTTCCATTTGCAAGATAAAAATTATTTTCAATTCTTGATTTTAATGCAGCATAATTTCCTTAAGTACTGTATTCTCCATTCTGCCTCAATAAATGTAGAACCTCAGATTCCTCAGTTCCTTCACTTATAAGAAGAAACTGTAGGACTTATCTCAGCTGATTCATTCATGTGTGCTTACAAAGTTCTGGTTGCAAGGTGCTACCAATACACAAAATAGTAATATTTGCTTACCTACAGTTACTGCAGCTACAACAGGAGAAACAATTACAGATAAGGTTACACCACCTGCTATAGCCAAGTTTCGCTTGTGCTTTGAAATGTCTTTGCCTTCATATCGATTGTGAATCTGAAGAAAAGAAGAAAGGTTTTTTTAGAGTATTATTGTCATCAATAACGCACTGCTGCCAGAATGGGAGAACTCACATATAATAGTTTGGAATCTGTACCCTGCTTTCTTCCAGAAAGACCACATTTTATGTTAGAATTTATTCATTATCTTAAAGACAAACAAATTGGTACATTCCTTAATTTTAGGCAACTTCCTGAAAGTTTTAAGTCCTCCCATCCAGCAACTAAGTGTTTATTTTCACCATTAAGTTAAAAGAGCTAAGTAATTGAACAGCTTTGTTTGTTTAATCATTACTCCAGATTACATGGCTGGGAGGAGTAGACAATTTTCAGGATCAAAGAATTACACCAGATCAACTTGACATCACTTATTCCCAGTCACCCTTCCCCTGAGAACAATGGGGAGTGACATTTTCAGATTATTAGATCCATGGTTGACACAGCAGAGTTATCTTGAAGGAAGGTATCCTTCACCAAACATATCCTGGGAAAGGGGAGAGCAAGAACTCTGTTGCCCTGGCACCCTCTCATGACAAGCTGTTGAGACAGAAAATGTTTTAGCAAACCTGAGACTTAGCTGTGCTACTATTCCCCAAGGAATCTGCTAAGCAAAATCCTTACTGACAGTTCAGTCTGAAATGTGACTGCTCCAAACTTATCTGCTGCAAATCCCATATGAACCTGAAAGGCCTTAAAAATTATAAAAAAATAATCAGTTTACAGAGATTTCCCTCTTCTTGTATGTTTCATTTACTCTCTCTAGGAACATGACTTTTCAGGGATATGCAGTCCATCTGTCATCATTCTTGGTTGAGATATAATTACAAAGGAACAATAGGTCACTATCTCAATGGTTGTCATAAGGCTAAGTTAATCCTCACTGCATCTAATGAGGAACAAAAGGGCATCAAGAAGATAATCACAAATATTTTATTATCAATATGCTACTGCAAAAGGGATTACAAAAATGAGTGGGAAGTTTTAACAAATGTGTTTCCTAAATTAGAGTTTCAATTGGAGATTTGGTGGGATATTTCTCATTTTGGAATAAACTTCAAGTATCTGTATTTGTTCAGTCAAGGAAAGGGCAGAGAAGACACTGCACTTCATTGAGATTGAGATTGTATTGCTCTGAGGTACATTATACAAAGAGCAACACAGAGCTAGGGAGCATCTGAATGTGGAACACACCTATGGATTAAAAAACTGAGCATGAAAGCTCTCACAGTCTGAGTGTGCAAGAGCTACAAACACAGGCAGACTAGGTTTCATGAGGCTCTGAAAGCAATTAGTAGGATCATCTCAAGCACTTAATTTCATTGCTGTGGGCAATTTTAACTACCAAAACAAAAGGCATACAACAAAGATAACTATAAAGGCTACTGGATTCCTTAATCATAAAGAAAGAAAAAGGAACAGCAGGAAGTGGATACAGAGAAGAAACTGACAGAAAATATCAAGACAGGAGGTTACATTGGTAGGAATGACTAAGTAAGGACTTCAGAATATTAAGTAAAGAATAAAGAATACCCAAATAAGAATGCTGGGCCAGAAGAAAATGGATTTCAATAAATGCAGAGAACTGGTAGGTTGCAAGACTTCCATCTACAAAAAGAGAGGACTAGCACTTCCTTAGGGAAACTATTCAAAGCACAAGCACAAGCTCTTCCAATACAGAAGACAGACAGAATGTTTAAAAGAACACGACGTTTCCTTTACTGATAGAAAGTAGGTCAGATTACTATGAATGTGGATAAAGGAACAGCATGAGAGCGTCAGGACAAAATAAGAAAGGTTAAAATAGAGGAGACAAAAAGCAAGGGACATAAAAGTCAACAAGAAATGATTCTGCAACTATGCTGCTAGCAAGAGGAAGACCAAAATTGATCGAATTGCTACTTAACAAAAAAGGAAAGAAAGTCAGCAGATGAAACTGGAGGCTTGTTCTTTTTTTTCCCTTCACTTGTCACTAAAGATCAACCATGAGCCAGATGACTGGTGACAAAGGAGTAATACCTGTAGGAAAAGAACAGGTTAGAGTACAATTACATGAAATTGTTTGAAAAATCTCAGCAGGCCCAATTTCACAGCCACTAGTAAGAGTTTCTGAAATTGTTACAGAAGATGTCTGAAAAAGAAAAAAAATCAGGAAAACTGGAAAAAAATTAAAATGCAATTATAATCTTTAAAAAGGTGTATAACCAGAGGCTGGGCAATTAAAGAACAGTGAACTGAACTTTAATTTCCTGCAAACTGGAAACTTGCAGACACCAAAGGAAATGCAGGAAATAAAGGCTACTCTGTGTGGGGTTTTTTCCAAGTAGAAATCATGTAGATTTAATTTTCTTCTGTGACAACTAGCCTTGAGGATGGGGACAAACAGATGTCATGCACTGACTTGAACAAAATTTGACATTTTCTTGTAGGAGACACTAACAGTGTGTAATGGTCCAGATTGAAAAAAGCACTAGAGAAATCAACTATTAGCTTCATGTAAAACTGACAGAAACATCTGAGCAGTCATCAGCTTTTTTTACTCTCCAACTGAAACTCTTCACCCTGTACTTTTTCTAAGAGCTATGTCTTGGACCCAAGAGTATTCAACATGTTCATTAACCTGAGAGATGGAAGAAGTTCAGGCCAAAACAACATGGCAATGTTGCAAGAATGCCAGAACTCGTACAAGTCTTGAGAAGTTGAAAAAATGGCCTCAAATGACTAAGATGCAGCTCAACAGTAAAGAGTTCAAGACCAGTTTTACAGAAGAGATGAACTGCCTAAATTACTAGTACTGTGGGGAAGGGCATGTATTTTAGAGAACACAAAATGAAAACAGCATTTTTTTGAGAAATAGATAACTGGCAGTTACATGCACTGGATCATCCTTTCATTTAACTTAGGAGTAGTAATGCTTCAGCTTCACTGCTGCATTCAAACTGGACAATGATGAAGGCACTACAAACAACTTGAAAGAAATTGAGGAGATGAGAATCAGAGTCAAGAAAACTGAAGTGCCAGGTTTACTTAAGAGATAAGAATGAAAGTGGACTTAAAAGTAATCAAATATGTAATGGAATATTGCAAAGCAAAAAGATTTTTTATGTCAGCTGAAAATAGGGTAGTAAGAATTTTGTGTAGGAAAAATCAGTTTTAGTAAGAAAATTAGGTTTGGAGAGTCTGTGGGATCTCCATTTTGAAGAAAAGTGTAAAGACATGACTGAAGTCACAGAAAAATGACCATTAAGCAGTAGGGTACAATGGAAATTCTCATGAGGCTTCCTTCTCAAACTTTGAGACTTAACCATTTTTTTAATCACAGACTGGTTCAGGTTGGAAAGGACCTTAAAGATCATCAGGTTCAAACCTCCCCACTGTGAGCAGGGACACCTCACACCAGACCAGGCTGCACAAATACATGAAAGGTGCTCAGTGATGGGGACCTATCCCAAAAACCTAATGAGACAAGCAGAATATGCAATAGTAATTTGAAGGAGGCAACAGCTACCTTCAGGTTCCAATGACTCTATAGGACTAAGACAAAATATAGTAGAAGGTTCAAAACTAACTGTAGCATAAGGTAGGAGTACGTGTTTGAAAGAAAAATATGAAAAAAATAATACAGAAGAAAAGCTGCATTCCTGGACTATTTGTCTAGTAGCAATAGCTCATGTGAGAGAAAAACACTTCTTCCCTCCAATACATGTACAATTATGTGACTCTGCCAGTCACTGTGAGAATCCATGCTGATAAAAGCAGAAAATTGAATCTTCTGATTATGCCATCCAGGACATATAAACAAATTCTTAGCATGAACCAAGTCATCATTTCAGAAAGACCACTTCCAGGACATCTGGGTAACCTACTACTTTATTCTAAATTACAAATAGGAGGAGTAGTTATGTTTTATTTTCCTTGCAATTTATAGTAAAAGCTATATTATTTTTCAGAAGAAATCTCAATGCCTGCTTTTAAGACAAATAATAAGGCTGTCCTAGCCTTCCAAGCAGAAACATAGGTTGGGTGGAAAACAGCTTGAGAACAGCCCTGAGAAGGTGGCTTTGGGGGTGTCGGTTGATGAGAAGTTCAGCATGAGCCAGCAATGTGTGCTTGCAGCCCAGAAAGCCAACTGTATCTCGGGCTGCATCAAAAGATGTGTGGAGAGCAGGTAAAGGGGATTGATTATCCTTATCTACTTAGTGCTGGTGAGACCCCATCTGGAGTACTGTGTCCAGTTCTGGAGCCCTCAACACAGGAAGGACATGGAGCTGTTGCAGTGATTCCTGAGGAGGGCCACAAAGATGATCAGAGGGCTAGAGCACCTCTCCTATGAAAACAGGCTGAGAGAGTTTGAGCTGTTCAGCCTGGGGAGGAGAAGGCTCCAGGGAGACCTTGCAACAGCCTTCCAGTGCCTGAAGGGGCTACAGGAAAGCTGGGGAGGGACTTTTTACAAGTGCATGTGGTGACAGGACAAGGGGGAATGACTTTAAACTGGAAGAGGGTAGATTTAAATTAGAAATTAGGAAGAAATTCTTTAGTGTGAGGGTGGTGACACACTGGAAGAGGCTGCCCAAGGAGGCGACGGATGCCCCATCCCTGGAAGTAGCAAGGCCAGGTTGGATGGGGCTCTGAGCAACCTGGTCAGTGGCCCATGTATGGGGGGTGGAACTAGATGATCTTTAAGGTCCCTTCCAACCTAAACCATTCTATAATTCTATGATTCCTTCTCCCCTAAAAATATTGTTTAATTCTAAGGTCCACAAGGGAAACTAGAGGTTAAAAACAGCACAATTTTGAAAAAGCATGCAAGAACTCCCTTGGCAAGATGCAGAAATTGGAAATTAATCAGTGTACCACTCTGCCTGTTTTAAGAGGAACTACATTCTTAAAAGCACTGCTTTTCCTTCCTGTTTAACTGAAACAAATACCCTTAAACAATCCAGTGGGTTTGTTTGGGGTTCTTGGGAGTTGTTTGATTATTTTTTTTTATTAATTTTTTTTTTTTTTTGGGGGGGGGGGTTATTTTTGTTTTCATTTTTTGGGTTTGTTTTTGTTTTTCATTTTTGGGTTTTGTCTTTGTTGGTTTTTTTAAGGTTGATGAAGATAACTAGTATCACCCAAATCATGCAATAGAGAAGGTAAAACCCAAAACATGTTAGGAGTTGTAGCATGTTTTACCTTACGTCCCACATACACAGGAATTCCAATGATCATAGCAGGAATAGCAATGCCAGCTATTAAGGCAATTCCTACAGGAGCTCCAACAAGTGTCCCTAGTTGCCACAGTATTTTCTTCTTACGGCTCCACGGTTTCTTTCCCCAGAAGGTGCAACCTGATGGGCTAATAGAAAGAAGAAAATTGTGAAGAAATTGTACATATATCAACTACACAGTCCTAAACTGTTCTCTTGTCACAAAATTCTTGTTCTTAGGTTCAAGCTACAGATGGTATATGTACCAAATCATCAGTTGTAACTTCTTCACACTTCTATTCTTTTGTCTTTACATTATATTTTGCAACATAAAGAGAAGCATACCACATATCACCACATGCCAATCTGTGGTTCACAGGTAACTTACACCTTACTGATTATTCACAGTTTTTGTATCTCTTACTACCAAGACAATACAGCAGTATTTAGCAGTATTTAGCGGGTATGTTCATCTAAAATACTTCATTTGTTGTACTAAGTACACATTGCACACATCAAACTTAGAAAAATATTTTTTAAAAAACCAAGAAAGCACTAATTTAAATGCATGCATTGAAAGTAACTTAATTCTCAGATATGGATACTTCAACTGTGAGTATCTACCCCAACAGGAAGAAAGCTAAACTTACAGTGCCCATTAGTCTATTTCTATATACTTTAGAAAACATTAACAACCATGCAGATTTTTTTGTTCTTAAATGTACCTTAAATAATGTAAATCTGAGATCTCTTTCATACACAGCCAACAGAATTCACAGCCACAAACAGCACAAGTCATATGATTGCAGCTTCCATCATTCATTTTTATTATATAAGCAGCACAGCGTGGGCATGGCTTTATGTCGTCAGCTGTTTAAAAATGAATATTAAGATCATATCAGTTCTTTAGAGAAACAGATTTAATAAAAATACAGATGTATGTTTGAGAAAGCCAACCGAACCATTACCTGAAAAATGGAAGTTTATTACAGTTTTGCTTTACAAATCTTGACTTGGCAATGCCTTGATAGTAATTTGTATTTGTAAACCCTGGAGCAAGTAAAACTAATGAAAGCAAGGCATATTTAGATCACATTCAAGCAACTGAACAGTTAATGCATACGCTCTGTCCAAGGATTTTCTAATGCAATATGTATTAGAGTAAGACATTAAATATGCATATTTATACATGACTGATAATACAGTGTCTTTAAATATAATCCTCTTCTACATTTCATGCTGTTATGAATTTTTTACTTGAATATTCAGTCTCCACTCTGTTGTTATTTCCTCTTATTTTAAATACACCTCCCATTCCACATTAAGTGCATTTCTTTGGTATCACCAATATGCGAGTCTTTTTCACAGCCCTACTTACTACTTACTCTGTAGAAAAAAAATACTGTAGCGAGAAGAAAATTGTGGAGGGTGTCCTTGTTTCCATGTCAAATACTGAAAAATGTGGTTAATTGACTAGCTCTGTCATTAACAAAGGGTCACTGAGCAACAGTGAAATACATGCATACTGACACAACCACACAGTTGTGATCTTTGTTCCTTCACATTACTGGCTGGCCTCTGCCCTTTGGGACAAGCTATTTACTCACAGCAGATGAAATAGCTTGCAGCTCCTAGTGTAGAAGTCCAAGTTTACTGTCCCTGTGTTACTAGGTAGGACAAATGGAAAGAGGAGTTATACTTAGGATAAAGAATATCCAAGGAGGTGCAGAAGCAGCAGAAAACACTACCTGTACCAACTCCAGTGCACAGAGACTGTGAGCAGCTGACAAGACTAGCTAATTCCAGATGGAAACAGATGTACAACCAAAAGAGCACTAACTAACCTATGCAAGTCCTTACAGCACAGGTATGGCAGAGCTACCGCTGTTCATGCTGGGACTGAGAGGGAAAGGGAAGATGCTGGCGTGCTAATTTCTTTAGTTTATTTTAAAATATATTTGAAAACTAGAGCAAGATGTCAATTTTTAAGGCAAGATGCCTTGTTAAAAAAAGCCAAGACAGACAACAAATTAGAAACTCCCAAATCTAGGGCTGGATTGGAGAATAACAGCTCTAACTACATTCAAGGTTAAAGCGAGAGTCCCCCATACATGTACCTTGTTAGGTCAGGCAGACACAAAAGCTGCCAAACAGATCAGTTCAGAGCCAACTCTCATCAACAGCAAACTGGACTCTTGCTGTGCATAATACTAGTCTGAACAGTTTACCGTCTTTTTTTTTCAGGGGTTACAAACAAGCCAAATTTTAAGAGATGGAACTGTTTGCTTTTTGGTAGAGAAGACAGATGAGCATTTTATTTAAAAACAGAAATTAGTAATAATATAGATGTCAAATGTCAGAACTGGTATCAGACTAATAGTTAAAAGCAGAAAATCAGTGGGTTTTGAGCTTTATTTTTAACAGCCCCTTAATTTTATTATTAGCAGCCCTGTGAAACTTCACCTACAGTGGAGAAAATAAGTGTTTCCAGTGTGTAAGTGATATAACTAACGAAGACAGCATGCCAAACAGAATGCTTTGCAGCAATTCCCTTTGACTTCACATTTTTCAGCTACAAAATAAGAATTCAAAATGCTTACAAGCCTCTAAGATTGAAGTCACATGCTCTGATCACAGACTACTTCAAATTACAATATTTAAAATTTTAATTCAAACTTTAAATTGTATATTTTACGTTTCTGAAACACAAAGCAGCTAGCATCTACCATGCTACTATTCAGTTCTTTCCTTTTCAGAGTTAATTGTGCAAATGTACTAAAAAGGTATTTTACAGACACAGCATCCTAATCACAAATACCTGCTGCTCCAGATTCCTGGCTGTAACTAATAGATGAAGAACGAATTGTTCTTAGGCGAAGGCTCTGAGCTCTCTCCTGGCGAGCAGCATCGCAGGTCTGGTTGGGATGCCAAATCTGCTTACAGTGGTAGCAAAACTCAGTTCCACAGCCTTCCCGTCCACACGTAAGTTTGGGACAGCTGGCACATCCAAAAGCAATCACAGCATATCTTGAACAATGAAGAGGGGAAAGAGAGAATTTTGTTAATAAAAGCAGTTCTGTCCATAGACCGAAGATGACAGAGCAGCTGAAGCAGGTACAAAGGCAGTGGACATCAGGACCTCACATGAGGTTGTCAGCACAGGTTCCTTACCACTTCCTTCCATAATTCTATCACTATTGCATTAGACTAAGACTGTACAGAAATACTACAATCTGTGCAACACTTTGCCCTCCCCCCACGAATGCAGCACTGAAATATACTGCATTTAAGGCTGAATGCAGTACTGTAGGGTTTGCAGTCACAAAGCAACCAGTCAAAAGAGTGGGACAGGTAAAACTAAAACAAGGTATTTAAGCAACTAAAACAAGGTATTTAAACAACTACAAAAATTCAGTTTCAAAAGCGTCCCAGTGACCACAGGCATGTCCATGTTTGACCCTTTCTATAACCTGGGAGAATCCCTGCTAAGTGATGTGCAGCATAATCTCTTACTGTAAAGACATCTGACTTGTTACTGATGACATTTTGTTACTTTACTGGTTGCCTTTTAGCATTAATACCACTAGCTACTTTAAACAGGCATTCGTTTACTCTTTCTATTTTAAAATGTCAAAACAACAACACAAGTGTTTTACAAATAAGGATTTAAGATAATTTCATTTTTGAGGATTTTTTAAATACATATCAAACTGTAAATGCAGAAATTGCTAAAAGTTCAGGACCTCGCTGTCACCTTTACTCTGACAATATTATATAGCAAAAGTCTCCAAAAACATTGAGACTCAAAACATACGTTACATTCTTTTGTAATCAGACACTACATGAACGATTCTGTACAGTGGCAGAGTTGTTGCCACAAATCAATTCCTCCATCAGGTTAGCATTTTAAAGTTCACATGAAAAAATACAGACAATGTATATTTTAGTTCATATTAATACTAAATATATATATACACATGCACCCTAATTCCTACCCATTTTAACTTTTTCAATGACTTTAAGCAACACCTTTCTTTAAATAGAAAACAATACTAGGTCCACCAGTATGAACACTTAAAACAGATCTATAGTTTTAGTCACATTAATGGGCCCCCTGAAAAGATTTCAATAAATTTATAAATGCAGCAGGGCTTAAATTTATGGCTGTTCAAATGAAGGTACTTTATAAGTAATGATAACTAAAAAATTATTCCCACTCACATATCTACCTGAAAATCTAGGTATTTTCATTTTAGAGTAGCTAGATCTGAAGCTCTGTAAAGTTAATGCAAATCCCATCCCTTTCATTAATGTTTTGAAACAGTATGTTTGAGTTTCCCCTCTCAAGAAGTTCTGCAAACAAGTAAGAGTTTTTGACTTTTAATTTAAAAGTTATGCAGTTACAAGTAAAGGAGATATATATACTTGTCGGTTTTCAAATGTTTCTTACTTTCCTGGTAAAAATCCATTTCAAGAATTGCTAGACTCTTCTACATGTTCAAGTTAATCAGCTCCATTTTCCCCACTTAAAGCAACTGAAGAGGTAATTGCTTTGCATGTACACAAAGAGACTCTGATCCAAACACTTCTTCTACATACAGGCATAAATCCAAAACTCTCTCATGTTATAACAAAGAATCTGAAGTGTAGGCCATGGGATGAAGTATTAATTTATGTCCTGCCTGCCACTGCTAATAATGAACGGGCACATTCCTGAAAGCACTCCCCATCTGGGATTGATGTGTACCTTTAAAAAGTAACTTTTTAGACCAGAGCAATTCTCAGTTCAAAATGTACAAAATTATAGATTTAATTTCAGCATTTTACGTTCATTTTCCAGGCCATGTGAAAACCAGAAGTTCTTGTTAGGGTGAGAGAAGGGACATACCACCAAAGTCAAAGTAGTAACACTTAAAATAAAAACCAGAGGCAAAGAGCAATTAATTTAAAAAAGGATGTGCAGTGGGAAGAAAAGAGGTGTGAAGCATTTGTACACTTTAATCCAATCTGCTTTTTGCTGTGATATCCAATCCCTGAAAGAATATTACATGGGATGTTTCATCAGTGCTAAGAATAGCAGCATGGACACGCATTATCCACTCAGGTTTTTCACCTATTTGCAGTGAATTTTTCCTACCAGAACATTCTACTCTGCACTTACTGCCTATGTATTACAGTATTTCAAATTTTAAAGACCACTTTAGGAAATAATGCTAATCTCTGAAATTATTGTACCTCTTCTACTTTGGGTTTAAGCACTCATTTAGTAACTACATTCCATCCAGCTGCTTAATGAAATATTTGACCCATGCTAAAATCAGGTCAGCTCCCATCATGAACCTCACGCATTCAGAATACATGGAGCACGGGTAGTAAGCAGGAGGAACTGCAGATGTGTGCATGCCTGCAGGGCTATGATGTAAGTGGTACCACTGAGTCCTGGTAGGATGACTCCTACAACTGGAGTGTGGGGATGGTTGGATATAAGCTCTTTAGGAAGGACAGGCAGAGCAGAAAGCGAGGTGGTGTTGCCTTCTACATCAATGCCCAGCTGGAGTCTATGGAGCTCCACCCTGGGACAGAGGAGTCAACTGTAGCCTTATGGGTCAGGGCTAAAGTGAAGACAGGAGCAGGAGATGTCATAGTGGGGGGGTCTGCTACAGGACACCAGACCAGGATGGCTGAGTGGATGATGCTCCTTCTACAGGCAGATGGAAGCAGCCTTGCACTCACAGGCCCTGATCCTCATGGGGGATTTCAACCACCCAGATACCTGCTGGAGGGACAACACAGCAAAGCACCAGCAATCTAGGAAGTCCCTGGAGTGCACTGATGACAACTTTCTCCTCCAAATGGCAGAGGAACTAACAAGTGAATGTGCTTAGCTGGACCTTGTTCTCACCAGAAGACATGGGCTGGTTGATAATGTAAGACTTAAAATGGGAGACTAGGCTGCAGCAACCATAACATGGTCAAATTCAAGATCCTTAAAGCAGCAAGGAAGGAGCAAAGCAAGCTCACTACCCTCAACTTCAAGAGAGCAGATTTAGGTCTCTTCAAGGATCTGCTTGGTAGGGTACTGAAGGACAAAGCCCTGAAGGAAAGGGGAGCCCAGGAAAGCTGGTCCATATTCAAGGATCACTTTCTCCATGCCCAGGAACTTTGTGTCCCAATGAAGAGGGTCACGGCCTCAGTGGAAAAGGAAGAACAACTGACATCATCGACCTGGACCTGTACAAAGCTTTTGACACTGTCCCACACAACACCCTGGCATCCAAACTGGAACAGTACAGATCTGATGAATGGTAAGGAACTGGCTGGATGATCACACTCAAAGAATGGTGTCCAGATGGAGACCTGTGACAAGAGGCATCCCCCAAGGGTCAGTACTTGGACTGGTGCTGTTTAACATCTTTGTCAGCGACATGGACAGTGGCATTGAGTGCACCCTCAATTTGCCAATGACACCAAAGCGTGTGGTGAGGTCGACACACTGGAGGGGAGGCAGGTCAGCCAGAGGGACCATGATAGGCTTGAAAAGTGGGCTCATGCAAACTGCATGAAGTTCAACCAAGCCAAGTGCAAGGTCTTGCACCCAGGCTGGGGCAATCCCAAGCACAAATACAAGCTGGGTGGAGAATGGATTGAAAACAGTTCAGAGGAGAAGGATTTGGCGGTGATGGTAGACAAGAAGCTCCCTCCACATGAGCTGTCAATGTGCACTTGCAGCCCAGAAAGCCAACTATGTCCTGGGCTGCATCAAAAGAAGTGCAGCAAGCAGGTCATGGGAGGTGATTCTCCCTTTACTCTGCTCTCATGAGATCCCACCTGGAGTGCTGTGTCCAGTTCTGGAGACCCCAACATAAGAAGGACATGGAGCTCTTACAGCAAGTCCAAGGAAGAGCCATGAAAATTATCAGAGGGCTGGAGCACCCCTCCTACAAGCTCAGGCTGAGAGAGTTGGGGCTGCTCAGCCTGGAGAAGAGAGGGCTCCAGGGAGACCCTGTAGTGGTTTTCCAAATGCTTGAAGTGGACCTACAGGAAAGCTGGGGAGGGACTTTTTACAAGAGCTTGTAGTAAAAGGACAAGGGGTAATGGATCAAACCTGGAAGAGGGGAGATTTAAGGTAGGCATTAGGAGGAAATTCTTTAGTGTGAGGGTGGTGAGACACTGGAACAGGCTGACCACGGAAGCTGCGGAAGCCCCATCCTTGGAAGTGTTCAAGCCCAGGCTGGATGGGGCCCTGAGCAACCTGATCTAGTGGGAAGTGTCCCTGCCCAGGCAGGGGGATTGGAACTAGATGATCTTTAAGGTCCCTTCCAACTCAAGCCATTTCAAGATTCTATGAAAACCTTATTAAAAAATAAAAAGCCCTCAATTTTAATTGGATTGCATAAGTTGATTACAGTTGCCAAAGCAATTCAAAACTGTGGCTCCTGTTATACCACAAAATTGTTAAAGCTGCTGATTAAGCAATGTTTGTTAGCACAGGCTGCTCCTTGAAAGTCTGAATAGTGCTTGCTTCTCTAAACCTCCCACCTGTACAATTAATTCCTCCATCTTCCTTCTGCCTGGAAGACCAAATTAAAAAAGGTAACAGTAGGATTCACATGAAGGTATTTTGCTTGTTGAAGGCATTATTGATTATGTATTTTGTTTAAGTATTATGGTTTTCTCCCAAAACTTCTTAGATTTATTTGTGGTGAAAGCTCAATCCCCTCTGTCCAAGTGCTAAATGTTTCAAAAGCAAGCAGGAGAATCACAGAAAAGATAAAACATGACCACTAGAGCTCTTGTTTCTGTAGGGTAACAACCATAGAAAATGAGCTTGTTGAGAGGTATCCAAGTAACCAACTTCCCACGATTTTAAATCAATATCGAGGACATACTATTTTTGCAATAAACACAGAACATATCTATTCCTGCAAATGTAATTTCCACATGAAATGTATTAGGAAAAAGTTGTGTTATCCAAGGTACAGTTAAGGTCATACATATAGTACTAGTTCGTTCCACTCACACAAAAAAAAACATTGGCACAGTTCAGCTGCCTGGCAATATACTGTGTTTTCCACAGTATGTAGTAAGCAGTTCTGGAGCAATTATTTCAATATTTGCTTTATACTAACTAATACATTACCATGGTCCAACAAGATGGAACAGAACTTTTAACTTTGGTCTGAAGACCCAACTTTTCATTTTATAATGGTATTATCCATAAAAAATACCATTACAGTTTCTAATAATTTCAAGATACTTAGGATATTTAATTTTTTTTTAAACAGATGAGAGAACTGAGGTGCAAAAAATAAGCAAGGTGAGAAGTCTTCATTAAACAAATCCACCGTACTGTTTTAGTACTTCAGTAAGCAGACTATCTGAATCACTGAACTATGGTTTCATAGTTCTTGTACACTTCCCCTCATCTCAAGTAACAACAGTTTGTCCAGAACACCATGAGCAAAGCATTCTTCTGCCTATCACATAATGCCTTCTAGTGCTTGTTTTCTTTTGCAGTTACCAAAATATTAAGAGCAAGCTGTACTGGTTTTGTCCTCAAGACTTTATTACAAGCTTATGCAACCAATCATCTCTCACATAATTTTTCCTTTTCTGCTCCAACTACACCACAGGAATGCCATCCACTTTGGAGCAGAGGACCTGAGAAGCTACAGTCTTTCCAGTCTCTACTTTTGACCCACATTAGCAAATTTTATTTCATTTAAAGTATGAAAGCAAAATTGTATTTCAAATATGCGTCTTAATGAAACATTTAAATTTAAAAGCCTCTAAAATATCAAGTACCTGGACATTAGTATTGAAACATTTAATCTACCTAACAGCCAGTCTTATTTTGTTCTCTTCCAAAATGCTTCCTTTTCCCTTCTATTTAAGGCTCATCTGTAAGGCTTTGAAACAGAGATGTCACCTCCTACGAGTTTCTAGTGTACACTGCACATATGGATTGTAGCCAGGGCTGTAATCTTCAGACAGTGTGATAATGCAAACAATCTCTAAAAAAGCAGCTTGCTGAAAAATGGCATTATGAGAGACCAACAGCGGAAAAGCGTGATGAACTGTTCAGTAGTATTCAGCCTACTCATGTCACAATTCAAATTGGTTTCAGAACTCTAAGTATTAAAGCAATGTTAAAACGTTACGTTCCTCAGATAATAAGCAGGAACAAGCTGATTATTATCTTACATCAGAATCCTGTTGACAGGCAACAAGTGGTGCCTCAACCAACCATAAGATGGAAGATATCTGAAGCTAGAGAGGCCTGTTTATTGAAAGAAAACTTCCATCATTTTTCACAGCTAAAGAAAATAAAATACCTAGTGTAACTTAACAAATGGACTACGTTAAATTTGTAGTCACCAATTTATCAACTGCCTTTAGTTTGGGTGTTGCACTGTTGTCTTGACAGCACACCTAAATTTCTTTTTGCCTGCTGTAGATACATAGCGACCACCTACCAAAAAGTTCCATGAAATTGTTCAAATTTCCTCTGTTAAGGAAAAAAAAAAAAGTCCTACTCAAGGAAGGGCTTTACTTCAGAAGGTAGGTTGGGCTTTTTTTTGTTGATTTGGTTTTAATTTATTTTGGTTTTTTTTAAAGATAATTCTGCCTGATACTTACGCACATAACACATAACTAAATGCTGAAGAAGAACAACTGACTTTTCAAAAAGCATAATGCTGTATCTATTTACGCGGTTAACTACTTTGCAGATATTGAGAAAAAGATACATACCCACAGTCCGGAGCTGGGCACCACCTACAATCAGGATCCGCAACAAGCCACCGCCTAAGCATAAACTCTTCATATTTTTCCATCAAGATGTCATCGTTTAATATCAAGCGAATATCATGAGGATTAAATCGTTCTGAGCATTCTGGACAGCTAATATTAACTCTGCTCTCAGAGATTTCTATCCGGAGATACTGACGCAAGCAATCCACACAAGATCTATGATGACAAGTCATTATCTCCGGGAACCTGTCCTTAGAGTGCCGCAAAAGGCACAAGGGGCATTCCATGAAGTCTCCACCTGGTTTGCCGCTAGAGGTTGTTCCGTTATCAGAAGAGGTACATGTGGAGAAAACAGAGTTCTTGTCTGTACACATTTCTGAATGAATACTTTCAATACTTGCAATTCCATCAACACCTCCATTTAAATCCCTAGATTTGCGTTTTGTGTCTTTTTTTCTCCGAAACAGAGAGCCCAATGAAATTCTTCTTTTCTTTGGTGCCTTTTTAACTGATGGCAAGCTCACAGAGGAAGCAGAAGACTGGAGGTCCCGATCAGAGCCCATTTGCCGATGTAAACTCATGTCTAGGTCACTCACCAGAAACGGGTTAAATTTCATATACAACCCTAATCATTCTTCAGGATCAAAATAATGCAGCCAGAGGATACAGACATATTATTATGCAACCCAGTTTGAGACTCTTCATGCAGAAAATTCACACATATCCACTTCCAGCAAATTCTTCACAGGAATTCCCTACATTAGAAAGAGAGATAAAAAAAAAAAAATTAGAATCATATTCATCACATTTGGTTCTGAAAGACCACAGCACTCTAATGAACTCATCCAAGGGCCACATCCTAGAACTGTTATTCATGTTATTACCATTTCGTCACCATCTGACCCAGTACTCATGTCAGCTTTTTCTATTGATTACATTCTTCTCATCTTAAAAAGCCTAAAATTTTCCTGTGGTCAAGGAATATCTGTGTTATACTTAAGAAGTGTTGAGAACAGCATCTTGACTCCCTTGGTCCCTAAGGGTGGTGTTGTGTGCATGTGTGTAAACATTATCAAGACTCCTTACAACAACTAGGTAAATGTTTAACAGATTCTTCTGTAAGGCTTAGAAACAGGCTTACAGCATTGGAAATTTTCTATTGCCAATATACCTAATTAAAAAAATTAGAGATTTCTGTCTGCACTTTGAATCTATTTCAACTACCAGCAGAAATTCAGTCACTGTGGCTAAACAACTCAAGATATTCTCAAGACCTAAAAGGTTCTCAGATAAGTATGCAGATGCATATTTATAATGTAAGGGCACCTGAATATTTCAGGAAAGAAGAGGCAGAGAGTGAGTGATAGCCAACACTGTCTTGCCCTTCCATTTCCATATGGCAATTCAAGCAAAGAGTAGAGTTAAGGTGATGACATTTAAATTTTTCATAATATGGATTTTTATTTTAAAAAGCCCCAAAACCATATTCCCCATCACATATCACGCTTTAGTTATTACCAACGTACAAGATGACAGCAAGGACTTCCTTGTCTTCCTTGTTTAAGTGACTGGCTCCAAGCAGAGACAGACAGAAAGGTGTTCTCCTATTTTCCTCTGACAGAGGAGACTGCTACAAAGAAGTGGCAGATAACCTCTAAGCAAATATACTAATTTTCCCCAAACATGCAAATATTCGAACTGCTTGGAGACATGATCAATCCAACTGTGCTATGAGCAGGTTCACAGTGCTCTGGGTAAAGAACTGGCTGCAGGCCAGGGTTCAAAGGGTTGGAGTGGATGGGGCTCCATCTGACTGACAACCAGTCCCTCAGGGTTGAGTGCTAGAGACAGTTCTGTTCAATATATTTCTCAACAATCTGAATGCTGGAGTTGAATGCACCATTGGCAAGTTTGCTGATGATACCAAACTGGGAGGTGCTTTCTTGAGGGAGAGGAGGCCTTGCAGAGGGATCAAGTTAGGTTGGAGCATTGGACAATGATTAACTGGATAAAACTTAACAAATCCGAAATGCTGGACTCTGCACCTGGTATAGAGTAATTCGGGGCACAAGTGGGAGAGTGGCTGGAGAGCAGTCCTGCAGAAATGGATCCAGGGATGCTGGTTGGCAGCAGGCTCAATTGAGCCAGCCATGTGCCCTGGCAGCCACGAGAACAAACTGCATCCTGGGGGCATCAAACACAGCATGACCAGCCAGGCACAAGAGGTGATTATCCTGCTGTGTTCTGCATTGGTGCAGCCTCAACTTAAGCTCTGTGTGGAGCTCTGGACCCCACGCTTTCAGAAAGATGTGAAGGTCCTTGAATGCATCCAGAGGAGGGCAACAAAGCTGGTGAAAGGGCTGGAAGGAATGTCCTATGAGGACCAGCTGAGGACTTAGGGCTTGTCCAGTTTGGAGAAAAGGAGGCTGAGGGGAGATCTCATTGCTCTCTACAGCTTCCTAAGGAGGGAAGGTGGAGAAGGAGGTGCTGAGCTCTTCTCCCTGGTATTCAGCAACAGGACTTGTTGGAATGGTCTAAAGCTGCTCCAGGGGAGATTAAGACTGAACATCAGGGAACATTTATTTACCAAGAGGGTGGTTAAACACTGGAACAGGCTTCCTAGAGAGGTGGTCGATGCCCCAAGCCTGTCAGCATTTAAAAGGCATGTGGACAATGTCTTTAAAACATGCTTTAATTTGGTCTGCTCTGGTATGGTCAGGCAACTGGACTAGATGATTGTTGTAGGTTCCTTCCAACCAGAACAGTCTATTTAATTCTATTATTCAAGCAGATTTTTTTCTAACTCTTTGCGAACTGCTTCTGTAAAAGAACAATCAGAAGTAATTTCTTACGCAACATCAGCATTGCGTATCTGGATGCAATAACTGCCAGCACCCTTTCTTTCTTCAATATTTCCTAACTTACCTTACAGGAAGAGGTGTACTGGGTTTCTGTGATTTTACAATGAGAAAATCAGAAACTGGATGCTATAAATAAGTGAACAGGCAGAAACAAAGAACATGGAGGGCCACTGATTATAATACAAAAATTATTTCTAATTCTAACATCTCTGTGGAAAAGACCAAGGAGGAAAAACCCACTGACTGAAGCCTCTCTTTACCATTATCCAGAGTCACCACATCCACTAGAGCAACCAAGACATAACTGTGTGTTGTACATCTCCAGGATCAGATCACTGAGATGACTTTGTCAACACCAGGAAGCTTCAGAGAAGACAGACCAGCAGCAGACACAGGAATTCCTCTCCAAAGAGGAAACATAGGAATAGCCCACAGGTTGTCCACCTTGCCTGAGCAAACCCACTGCTGGGCCCTCTTCAGGCCTACTGTAGCTTGATACCCTATATGTACTAGCAGGTAGCCAAGTCAATTTGTACTGCCATCCATTACAGTAGTACCCCAGAAGAATAACACCTTCTTCAAGTGTCAGAGTTTAAGAGAAAAAAAAAAAAGAAACCACATAAAAAAAATATTTTTAAAAACCTCCTCACATCTCCTGGTTTTGCTAAAAAGACACCCTACATTTTGGGCCAGAAGAATTCTTCTGGTTTTATTTTTGTTTTTTAAGAAAGAAATCCAAAGCACTGTATTGTTTTTTTTTCAAATTACAAATTATCATTACTTTGCCTTCCAAATAAAGGAAAATCCTAGCCCTGTGGAACTATTAATAATAATTAAAAAAAATCTTACTTTATTCCCAGGGTGTAAAATAAAGCATATTTCAAGAATGTAACATATTCCTCCTTTCCTCCTAAGGGAACATTTTCAGCCTAAGATCTAGCCAAAAGGAATGGCCTGGATGCTTTACCTGCTTCTTTTCCCAAAACAAGTTTAATAGTTTTATAGCCGCTGTTCCTCATTAAATGAACTAAAACATTCCCTTATCTAAAGAAAAAAGGTGAAACTGAAAGAACTGCTCAACAAACATGACAAAAGGAAATATCCTTCCCCTGATTCATCACAGATACACACAGTTGTCTGAAATATACAAAAGATACACAAATCCTATAGCTTATGGGTTAACTTTAACTAAGTTCACGTGTCTAGAAGTGCAGTAACAACCTTGAAAACATTACTACAACTACATACTTGGTAACATTTGTATGTTCACACAGCTGCTACCAGGACAGTGGAAAATGTCACTTTCCTCAAGCCAGGAAGCATCCATGAACAACATGAACAATAATCAAAAAACTAATTTCAGGCAAGAAGTTTTAGTTTGGGTTTGTGTCTGTATTTGATTTTTGTTTTTTTAAAGATAAATTAGGAAGTAAACACAGAAACACAGCCAAGGCTATGACTACAAAGCTTCCCCTCCTCCCCTTCTCTGTAGAGGAAAGAATGTGTATTAGAGCATTTCTTCCAGTTCCAACAGATGTACAATATCAAGAAATTGCAGCTCTGGTGATGAACTAGTTGGTTTTGGTGTGTTTTTTTTTCAATAAACAAAGATTCTCCCATGCTCTAAAGAAAGAGAACAGTAGGTCCTATAGCTCTCTTTGTGCAACGGGATCTGATTGGTAGTGTTGCAGAAATAGATGATTCTTTTAATGAAAATGGTTAAACTTTGTCAGGATTTCTGAATGAAGAAACATATCATCAATCATAAATTATGCTCCCTAGATTTAAATGCATAAAGTCAGTTTTAAAAGCCATACTCTTCCTTATATAGTAATTTTGGATTGCCATTTCCATGACGTTCAAAGATGACTTTGCTGAAGTGAAAAGATTCAGCAGATGATTTATAACAGGAAAAAATGAAGACAAATGTTACAATGCTAATAATGATCAGAGCTGTACAAAATCTTAAAAGCCTTCTTAGTGCAATCTGGAGCACTGGCCAGTTTTCAGGTTGTTCAACCCAACACAGCATCTGCATGTTTTTGCTGACAAAAAGGAAGAAAAATTATTTCATTCTGTACTGCCAGAAAACACGCCTGAATTACTCTGGTAACAATGTCTTCACAAGAAGGAGATATGTCATGTGAAAAATGAAGCTCTGAAATAAAAAGACCTGAAAACAAGGCAAGACACAAAATTATGGTAATAATAATAAACAACCTAATTTTGAGAGGCAACATTCACTGCAAGTTCTGCACTACTCTCATTGACCAGTATAAGCTCTGCCAACATACAGAAGAAACTTACATGGGCAGCAGCGAAGGGATAGAAAAACAAAACACAGAGTATAACTCCTAAAAAATCTAAGTTCACCACTGCCCTCAACATTTCCTCAAAAGCACTTACCGACTACAAAAACCAACATGTTTCTGGCTTCCTGCCATGCCTAAGGGCCTGCCACAAATCCAAATTCCAGCCATGTTTTGCATTCTTCTCGCACCACAGACTGCCACAAAACACCAGTTGCCATAACACAAACACACCTTGTCATCTGAAGATTTCCAAAAGAACAAATGACATTTGAAGATGTAACTCACTTAAAGCGCAGTACTTCACTGCTACCCATTTCTTCAGTAACCCCTCCTGAAATATCTTCCAGAGAAACTTAACTAACATGCAGTTAATTTCCTTCAACAATTATTCAACCAAGCTGCTTAAAGTAAGTACTATTGCAGACCATGTAATGGAGGGGGAGG